AGTGCCACTAAGAGTAAAACTTCTTCGCCATCCTTTGATTTACAGCGGGCCATCAACAGTCAACCCACTGTTAATTCGTTCTAAGGTCAGATTCCATTCAGTATAACATCTTCAGTAACGTGTAGATTTTAAATGTATGTTGCTAACTCAGAACTATGTACTTATTTATCTTAGTAATTTAACTACCATATGATAAAACAGTCCTCTGGTACGCCATGAAATTTATTTTAACATAATGATCTCGGCAACAGAAGGCATTGTTTAGTTTGACAGTTACGATCAAATAACTATCAAATAAATGATCAAATAGCTGCTACGCCAACACGATTATTTTAAAAATAAATTTCTTGCTCTACTAGAACATGTTTTTTTCGATTATATACTATATAGTTAGTTTGGAATGTGTACATACATATGCACATATATAATAACGAGTCAACAAAAAGTTTTTAGATTTGAATTGCCCAGGGAATATTTGTCATTCAAAGGAAAATGTCAACAATCTAAATTATTGAAATACAAATGAGGTCATGCATGACATATGCAGTTTAATCAAAGACATGACAAATATTTCCATAGCCAACTCTAATCTAAAAACTTTTTGATCACCCGTTATATTGTGTGATCAATATTGATTGCATGCGTGTCAGCCTTGAAAGTGTAGACGAATGTCCTTACCTTACGTGCACGCGGAGTGTGCTGGTCTGTCAAGTTTGAAGGTAGAATGTCTTAAATCCAACTCAAGAGTTATCCGTTACTTCTGAACTTCTGTGACAAGTGTGATATAATATTGATAGTAACAAATACGAAGGATGAAATTAATAACTTGAAATCTGATTTAAGTGTATTAAAAACCGAGATTGCCAGTGAAAAAGAGAGTAAGAAGGCCCCTTATAGGTTATCACTGTTATCGGCCAGTGGAATTGATAAGAATGTTGAACGCATGATGGACCAAGAACTCATATCTGAAATAATGGATCGTCAACTTCGAGCTAACAATTCAATAATATACAATCTCTCAGAGTCAATTCTATCAACAGTTGAGGAGTGAAAGAGTGAGGACCTCACCCAAGTTCTGAATTTGATTGGCAGAACCACAATTACAGAAAATTCTCTTCGTTTAGGTAAAGCAAACGTCGGGAAGCCTAGGCCTCTCTTAATTACCTTAGTTTCGTCTGGTGATGTTCTGAATATCCTAAAGAACTATCGTACTAAGAATAATACCTATCTATGTTAACAGGGATTTGACTTTGAAACAACGAAATCTGGCGTATGTTGTTAGAAAGGAGCTTAAACGACGACGTGAAGATGGGGAAGTGAATTTGAAACTTAAATATGTAAATGTTATACCCAAAATAATAGCTATAAATAATGACAATGCAGATAAGGTAAAAAACGTAACTATTCCCAGCGAGTAAGCAATCCAAGTATTTTGAGCGCCAATACTAAAATTAATGAGTTTTACATAAATTGTGCCAGTAGTGACTTTGATATACTCTTTTTAAATGACACATGGTTGAGTTTACTAGTGCAGTCATCTTCAAGGATTCACAGATAAATATGTTGTCTACAGATCTGCAAACGAAAGGCGCGGTCCTGATATAGCTATAGCTATCTGTCCGTCAGATATTCTCTTAGTTGATTCACCACTAGCGGAAGTTGATTTACTTGTTGTGCGGATTTGGATAGACAATTTGTCAGTAATTCTAATCAACGTTTATTTTCCGCCATCAACTAGAGCTGATGATTATGAACTTATTACTCTTTGAACATATAGAGAACCATTGTTCTGTGTCATCGTGGGAGATTTTAACATAACTGAACTGCAAACATGTTTATGTAACAACCATAATCCAACATCTATACTTATACAACGCATTTATCTCATTTTTAAGTTTTAATAACATCACTCATAGAAACAATATTCTTAACTGCCGCCGTTGATCAAAATTTGTATCCCTTTGTTAAAGAGGACAACCACCATCCTGATTTAAGTATCGAGTTATCACTACATGCAGTATCGAGTCCTAAATTTGAGTCACCTCGCAATCATATATATTTCAAGGCTTATATAGTGCAGTAGGTTGTCTGGACTGCATTGAGCAATTCTCAATTCAAAGTGTACCTATTTGAATAATATCACGCAGCTATGTGCCTAAAAAAGTTCAAACTTCAAAAATTTACCCCTGTTGGTTTACACCTGAAATTATCAAATCCATTGAGAGGAGAAAATACCACTGGAAGATGTATAAAAAGTATAAACTACTATCGCAAAAAGAAAAGGCATACTAATTATCCAAGGCTATCAAAATGAATATCAAAGATGCATTTGCAAACTTTGTCCGCCTAGCTCAAGATAAAGTTAAATTAAACCCGTCTTATTTCTGGTCATATGTTAATACTAAACGAAAAAATTCGAGAATTCCGTCTAACCTGACTATTGGGGACAGTAACATAAAACTTAATGACCCTCTTACGATTGTAAATGGATTCGCATCCCAGTTTAGTAGTGTCTTCAATACAAATCCTATGGTTGGGTCCTCTACTAACATCAATAATATTTCATGTGGTAGTGTGATCTGTGATAATGGCAATTGTGATAACGTACATAGTCATCAATAATATTTCATGTGGTAGTGTGATCTGTGATAATGGCAATTGTGATAACGTACATAGTCATGCCAATTCAATCTGTGACATATTCTGTGATAGTTATACTAGTAATATACCTGTACTACATACCTTCTCAATAGTCGATAAGGATATTTTATAAGCGGTCTGTAAAATAAAAGCGAACTTAACAATGGGAACGGATCAGATACCCGCATTTTTCGTTCGCGACTGTCCAATACCGTTTATGCGCACGTTAAGCCATATATATCAGACTGTCAGCTGTGGTTTTTTTAAAGGCAAATTGACATGTACGAATTTGGTTGAATTCACTCAATTTGTGTCAAACGATTTAAATTGTAGACAGCAAGTCGATGTGATGTCCAGCGATCTTTCTAAAGCATTTGACACTGTCGATCATTGCATTCTGTTAAATAAATTAAGCCTATTCGGGCTATGTGATAGTCTAGTGCTTTTGTTTAAGTCAATTCTTGTAGGGCAAAGACAATTTGTAGAATACCAAGGGTACAGATCATATGAGCATGATCAGGCGTTTGTTAAGGATCTAATTTAGGCCCGTTGTTGTTTATAATTTTTATCAACGATATTGTTTTGCGTCTAGGAGAGGACTGCGATGTGTATATGTGTGCAAATGACATAAAAATAGTGAAAATTGTTGATACCGTCAATGACTGTAACATGTTACAAGCCCGTTAAAAATAATGGATCATGAAACAGATAGAGAGTTTCAGACCATTTCAGTCAAATTATTCCAATTTTCTACGAATTTTGTAGCAATGGAAGGGTTCACTAAAGATCACAATAGAGTTATTTTTAAAATCTGTGTTCCGATATTTTGTGGAGAAATAAATAAAAATAGACGGTTTTTGCGATATAAATAAACTTGGATTGCAATATTGGATAGAAAGCGTTTATAAAAAAATTTATAACAACTTTCTTTCAGTGAATTGCAACATCGACACACCGACCGGCGATCGCACCTGCGATGCCAAACTTGGCCGTTTCTTTTTTTTTCTCTCGCGCTGTGTACTACCTATGTTTATGGCGTCATAACAATTTTTTTTTTTTTGTTCAAATTAAGAACGAGTCACCCCAATTTCTCGGAAAGGCGAGAATACGCCCGTCTTTGTTTCAGAAAAATCGTAATAATAACATTCAGAATATTTTGTTCTATTTTAGTTTCAATAATATAACTTTAGTCCTGTGTTTCAAAGGCGTCAAACTCATTCAAATCAAACAATTTTCTACTTAACATTCTTCAGATGTATAAACATAAATACTTAACTTTGTTATTATTGCTGAGATTTAATTTTTTCTCGTTGTTAATCTGCTTTAAATATATTTTACATTGTCCGTACTTGTGCAATTTGGACAATCCTTTGAAATTCGCGTCCCCACGGCGCAGGGGCTGCGAACTGACAAAACAAACATCGCAAAATCTAATTTTATAATTTTTCAAAGAAACGAGATTTGCTGTATATGTATATATAACATTTAAAGTTGACCGCTACTGATAATATTTTACTTCTTTAGGGGATACACCGACAGGTTGAAAGAAAAGGAACGGAAAGGAGGGTAAGATGCAGTAATAAAATACAACGAAACGTAATTTCAAGGATAACTATATTTACAAAGCCTGGGAAGGGGCTAATGAGAATATATGAAAATATATAGGATATTATATTTAAAAAAACTAACGTGTGTGGTATTCCTCGGAAACAAAACAATCTGTTTAGTGGGAGATAATTTTAATGTATGCTACTTAAAGGGTTATACAGCTTTAGTTTCTGACTTTTTTCTCTGTAATAATTAATGAGATATCGTGGACCGCGGTGTTTTTGACTCGTACTGTGTATATAAGCAAAAGAAAAAACGAAAAAAAAAGTTAAACAATCCTGTCGGATCAAATAAAGAATAGAAAAGGAGAATAATGCAAATAAAAAAATACTGTTGGGAAAAATACGAAAATTATACCAACAGCTGTTTGATTTCGTTTATCTAAAGGATTTTTGTCAGTGTAAACAACAGCGTCCGATGGAAGAAAATCCAACTAAGCCAACAACAAGAATTATGTAGGTGGCACAGTACAATCACTACTAAGACAACAATAAAGCCTAATGTGTATAGAAACAATTGTAGTTCATAATAAGTGCCTGCAAAAGTCAATATACTCATGACATATATATCAGAGCTACTTAAACTAAGTACATAATTTACATCAAAACTTATTTTTGTTTTAAAAGTTGTTATAAGCTTAAGGTACTTAAGTTAATATTATTGTTTACACTGTTCGTAAGAAGATCAAGTGAGTACATAGACCTGTATAACAATTATACCCTATAAAAATATTTGTCGAAAAGTGCTATTTAATAGCGTCCCGTCAAAACAAAACGTACAGAAATTGAGCATCAGTCTCTTAAAATGGATCTACACTTATTATTTTGCGCTCTTTTCTTCCTCGTAGGAATAACTGCAGAAGGTAAGAGTTTTGCACACTGTTAAAACAATTTGTTTTACGAAATGGTTTTAGAAATCACTTGTCCTCCAAACGAAGAATTTAAAGAGTGTGAGTCTGTCTGCCCTCCAACTTGCCAAAACACGTCGCCTCAAATTTGCACAGATCTGTGCATCATAGGGTGTTCTTGTAAAAAAGGATTCATCAGGGAAAGTCCAGGTGGCCGATGTATAGAATCATGCGAAGGTAACTTTTCATTTTTCATCTAATTACAATAATTTTAAAATTAGCTTGGAGTTAAATCGTTCTTAATTGAACAGGTGTTCCCGTATGCAAGGACAACGAAAGATTCACAACCTGTGCAACAGCGTGTCCGAGAATTTGCAACCAAACTGAAATTCAAGCTTGTCCTCTTTTGTGTAAGACGGGCTGTGTTTGTGCTGATGGTTTTATAAGGGAAAGAGAAGGAGAATCGTGTATTCCCGAGGGAAGGTGTCAACCAAAATGTGGAATAAATGAAGCCTACACTGAATGCGGTAGCCCATGTCCTGGTACTTGTTCTCAACCAAGTAAAGTTTGCGAAAGGAAATGCGTTGAGGGTTGTTTTTGTAAACAAGGATATCTTTTGGATGAAAATAGTGGAGCATGTGTTAGGAGAAATGATTGTCCTAATTGATTTAATCTGAATTGTAGAAGTTTTATGAAATTCTAGCAATAACTGTGTTTTGTAACATTTTAAAGTTATTTATAGGTAGTTTATTGATAATGGTGTTTTTATTAAAATAATAATGAATGAGAAGTTTCAACATACATTTATTTTCTCCGCAACGTATTGAGTTAAAAATGTTGATTTGTTTTTAACTTCGATTTATACCACGAAGAAAAGAAAATATCGTCCACTTTAAAATAATTATATTCTGGGAAACAGATGAATGAAAATTCCAAAGTCCAAATCTTTACGTAAATCACGAATGCGATGGCAAGATTTTCGCCATAATGTTGTCGGCGCTGATTTAAAAAACATTTACGACTACTTAAAATGTTGATAATATTCCGAAAATTATAAACAAATTGTTTAACATTTTTACCTTCACGTTGCAGTAAAAATAGAATAAAATGCAAATATCGTAATATGTAAACGAAGAAAATTATCATAGAAAACGTTGTTTTGAAATTTCTGATAAAATATCTAAATGTGTCTTATCTACCGGTATTTCACAATACTCCTTACCTGCTGCATTTTTGTTATTACTGAAGTAAAATGACAAAACTAAAAATTTTGAACTCATTAGATTTATTACATAAAACAGTGACAATCGTAAAAATATTACCACAATTTGTTATCAGTTATTCAATAAAAATTATCATGAATTGGTAACGTTTAGGGAAATGCGGATGCTCCAAGCTTCAGATTTGATGCCATAGGGAATCAGCTTGGATTGTTTACAAAACTTCAGAGGATGTTTGAAAATTGTTTTTTTTTATTAGTTCTTATGCAGTTTTATTTTAAGAAAACAAAAATAAATAATCTCACTGAATTACCCCAAAGGTTATTAAAAAACATCCACTATCTCTAAACTTTCTGTTGCGATTATCGATTTTTGAAAAACAAACAAACATGTAAAGTTTAAAAATATTTTGGTAACGTTAAAAGGTGTTATAGTCTCATTGAAAGTTAATGGTAATGCGTGCTGAGAACCTATAAATGTCATAAATTTTTTGACGTCATGGCTACGTACATGTAAATTAGTTGTAAATACATAAATAACGTGAAAAGTTACTTCAAAATAGTAGTAGTAGTGTATTTAGAACAGAAGCAATAAGACCGAAGACGATTTAAACAGCTGAAAGGGTTAGTCTTGTTCCCACGTTTTTCAAATTTTACTGTTCGCGGTTTTTTTACTACTCTTTTTGTTCTCTGATAACCTTTATACAATAAACACTGGTGTAACTGACACCTCGAACTCCCTGCGTCGCGGGAGCGTAAATTCGAATGAGGTGCCGTCCGCAGACATACGGACAGTATGAAATATATTTAAAGCAAATAACCAACGGAAAAGAGCGTATTATTATCAGTGTACATGTTTAACTTCGGTTGTTTATGTTTATACATCCAAAGAATGTCACGCGGAAATTTGTTTAATTTGAAGGAGTAGTTTTCTCAAAACAGAGGACTAAAATTATTGATTAAGCCATAATGGAATAAAATATTTTGAATGAAGATTATTATTATTCTTATTTGACTGTAATTAAATAAAGATATTTCTTTATTCTTAATTTGTTCAATTAAAAATTGGTCGAAGGCTAAAGAATAATCCGTCAAATCCAGCTCTTTAAAAAATTATAAAATTTGATTTTACGATTTTCGTTCTGTAATAACCGCTATATAGTAAAAACCAGCGGCACAAATAACACCCCCGCAGCCGCTGAGCCGTACGGACAATGTAAAATATATTTAAAGCACATAACTAACATAATAAAGTGTCCTTTAGCACTAGGTAATAGAAATCGGAAGCTCATGTGTTTATGTTTGCTTATAAATCGGAAGAATGTCACGTAGAAATCAGTATGATTTGAATGAGTTTGTCTTCCCAAAACAAAGAACTAAAATTATTATTAATTAATAAAATAATTGAACAAAATATTCTGAATATTGTAATTCTCATTTTATCATTATTATATAAAGAAGTGCCTATACTTCACATTTGCGGAAAAATGAGGTGACTAGTTCTTAATTTGACCAATACAAAATTTTTGATGACATCGTCAACATGGATAAACAAAGACTTTTATCCCGCGTTGGTAATACCTTGCAAATGTTTTTGTGTACTGTCATACCTAAAAATGACAATTAGCATTTGACATTAGCGAAGCGCAATTTTTATTGCAAGAGTAGGGCCCGGTTTATAGAAAGCGAAATTAAAGATAATTCGCAATTTCAAAAAATATCCAAAAATTCATATCTGATGCCCCCAAAAATCATTCCTTAAAGACGGAGGTAATAAAATAAAGATCAATCAAACAAGAAAAAATCTGCACTTTACAGGTTGCAATAATTTTCGGAGTGGCTGGCTAATCATTAAGAATAGACGAACTTTTAGAACTGGATAAAACAGATGTTCAAGACTTGAATTATTTTTTTTTGGTAACCATTAAGCGACCAGAAAAAATATACAGAGAAGATTTACAGTTGTAGAAAATGAAGAAAGAACGGTATAAAATTTAAGCAGACCAATTCATAATCCATATAACAGATTTTTCATTTCAGTATAAATTAGGGCAATGGTGTTTACATACTGGGCATTGCCTGCGGCGGTCTTCTGTATCAATTAAATCAATTTAAAAATGTCTCCATTGTTAAATAAATAATGAAGACCAGTTATCTAAGTAGTATCAAGCAAAATATTTAAGGCTTTATTAAATTAATTAAATACTAAATTTGCTTTTGTTCACGTCTTGGTAAACAATTCCTTGAATTTGTATTCACAAAATTTCTCACAAGTTTGTATGCGCGTAGCCAGGATGTGCTCGGGATAATCAATAATTTATATTTGGAAAAACATCACTGTCTGCTGCATACTACGATCATGAATAAATAAAATATGAAATAACAAGGGATTAAATCTGGTTTTTACTCCCGAGAGAGCCTCGAGCTTTAAAATTTTTGAGGGGAAAAAAGTGTAATCCCGTGTTACTTATACTGTTTTTCCAATACTCACCCATTTACTTCTAAATCCAGTTCGGAATTACTTTGCTCGTTATTATGTCACAATTCATCTATGAAAACTATTCACAAATTTTGTAATAAAAACGCATGCAATTCAATTTGTAATCCCTAAGGATTAAAAGCAGCTATTAGTTTGCATGTTCGTTGTTTTCTTTGGATTTAGAAGATGTCAGCAAAAATTTACATTTTGATTTTACTAAAATAATCACTTGGTAAGATATTTGTTGTGGCAGAGAATCAGGTCCATAGTAAACAGAAAGAAAAGAGCGAATACAATATAAAAATTACAAAACGCGTTAATAATCCCGTTTGTACCCTGCGCATGGTACATTTACTTTGCAATCATCTCAACAGACTCACAAATCCCTGCCCTCCTTTACTCCCTTTAATCATTCCATCTCCCATTTAATGCCACAATAAAACAAATTCCCTTCAAAGTAATCCCCTGCGTAAAATTTTACAACCCTTATTGGATTCCTCCGAGACTACCCTTGACCTATATTCTCCACTAAAGGATTTCGACATGACAATTACGCAGATCGTCGCAATTATCTTATTGTGATATAGAGAAGACACCATAATAGCACAGACTCAAGTTGTCACCATTAACCTTTAGTAGAACGCCTACATTTTTCAACCCGAATTGAACCCTCCACAGCTTCCCACGTCATAGAGAGCCAACACAATTTACTAAATCCCGGCTTTATAAAAGGACTTCCTTGCTTGGAAACACTCACATCCTCTTCAACACTGGGCGATGTGTGTGCTGGTTTCCATCTAAAAATAACGCATCAGGAAGAAAATGGATGGCTGAAATATGTTTCAGTCCTCGTTGCTAATTAAAGGAGAAAGTTTTATTTCGGGAATTTTTACACCCACGTCATATACGCAAGACTACAGTGAAATTATGCTTTTTAAATATACAGAAGCCGACAAAATCTCTGCTGACAATCAACTTCATTTTCAGCAGAGATTTTCTCGGGTTCTATGCTTTATTAAGTGCAGTTTTGCTTCATCTAAAACTGTGTACTTTCACCATGGTTTTTCAAGATGTGTGTGTTGTTCGAATTAGCCTTAAACGAGATTCTGTTCGATTCGAAAAGGGTACCAAAAATAGAATGAATTTTTTTGCACATTGCATTGAGATCTTCTTGTGATCGGATTAGGGCAGAATAACAAAAAGGACACGGACATTCGTAATTTTTTTTTTCGTCTTGAAGGCAGAGACCAAATTCTTTGTACATTCTGTCGAAATATTGTACAATGTCTGATAAATTTTAAAAACCTGTTTTAATACGCTCCAAAGTTTCCGTGTAAACTAAACTTCTGTACAATACTTTGTACTTTACATTGTTGGAGGCATCATTCTTTAAAAAAAATATGTCTTATGACTCCAATAATAATAATAATAGAATAGAGTAGAATAAAATAAAATAAATTCCTTGTAACATTCGCATAATAATAACAAGCAGACACTTTCTTTGTTTTTTATCTACATAATCGAAAATGTAGTATAAAGTCTCATTAATAAACTATAATTGCAGCAGTAGCTTCGTTGGTAAAATAACACCTGGTTACGAATGATTTATGAGATATTATTCGAAATAATAGAACAATAACAACATTTACAATTGGTATGTATTTATCGCCAACCTGTAATTTTATTTCTTTCATTAATCTTGTGTTACATTTAGGCAAGGCATATAATAACTGCATAATGCGGGTTCGTCTAGAACGTATTTTTGTGTACATTAAAAAAATGTAAAAAGGATTTTGCATTTTATTTATTTAAGGAAATATTTTCACTAGCAACATTTTCTATTTTTCTTCTTTGTATCTACGCAACTTATTAGAACATTAACTAATAAACTATTTGCTAAAGAAAGATCTATGAAGTAATTGCCGAAAGTTACTATCGTATGGAAAAGTATTATCGGTACTTAGCAGCGAGGGTATTTCTCTGCCTCCTCACTAGAGATCTACCACTTGGATAGAATACAGTAGACAAGAATCAAACTTTCCTAGTTTGATTACAGAAAATTTGAATTCGAAACTAGAACTTTTTGGTCATTATTTTAAACTAAACAGTAGAGTGTTTTTTTAACAATAATGAATCTTTATTTAATAAATTTATTACGAGTAGATTTTAGATGACAGGCATTATTTTTTTATTAAGAGATAAACCTGATTCACTCAGCAACCGAAAAAACTGACGAATATTGACAATTTCTCTCTCAAAAAATTAATGACCTCATTACAAAATTTTTCCGAATAAATGTTATATGTAAATATATGTATGTTTTCTGTAAAATTATAGAATAACATACACCTACACTTGTGGTTTATGAGTTCCTGTTCAGTTTTTATACTTGTGCTCCAGAATTTTAGAGAAAAAAATCAAAACTGTACAGTAATCTTTTACGATTTAATTTTGAAATCGCGAAACCAAATGCTCTGGAATCTAAAAAAAAATTTAAGGTAATCAGAAACATGGTAAATTATTCAAATTTTAATCGTGTTAGTCTATGAAACACACGTGTTTTAGATAGAATATCCGTAACACCGCAAAATATACATTAAAAATATTACCAGGAATTTGCAGTAATGGTACAATAGTACGCACATTCTTAATCTACCTAGACTAGAAATATTAACAATTATATAATTCCAAAGCTCCCAGTTTCTAATATAAACATTGACGACACAATAGCATTTGTTGTTCTTCATGTAATGCCGGTCTTCTCAAAAATGTTTTTGCTTTTTTTTCAATAATTGTTCGTTTTTGTTAAAAGTTCTGCCAAGAACTGTGTCATTAATTTTTCATTAACACTAAAATCATTCGACGTATGTTGAACTAATTTATGGTATTTGTTACCAAGAACACATTTCAAATACAAATACAGGATAATTGAGAGAATTCATGGTCCTTATCACATATTTAATGCAATACCAACTTCGTCCGTTCACTGTCTATATTAACCCCATTAGAGATTGATGGATTTGAAATGTCTCCTTGCTAACGACCAGGTTAATGTAATTAATTACGCAGCAATTAAGTCATTTATTAACAAGTTCGCTCTCTGAAGTAGTTTCGCGTGGCGTAATGTCAACACCGGGTATATCAGCAGCCTCCAAATGGCTTTAATTAATAGTGCAAAGGCCTTGGAATTGTTTCACGGACCTCCGCTATGCGAGTTATTAAATTCTGTTTTTTCTTCGAGAGCTTGCCCTAGGTGGATCGATGTCAGTGGTGATATGTGGTAATATAATCTGGCACTTGGGGAAGAGGGTTGTGTCACGTTGTGAAAGCAAATGGCTAGGCGGGATAAGCTAAGCAGTTTACGTTTCCTTTTACTGTTCTCTTAGGCTATTAGTTAGGTGCATTACCGGCGTCTTCGTGTTAACACCTAGTTCGGCGATATGTTTTCTTTAGGACGAGGAAAAAAACCGTGAGGCATTAAGTTAGAAAAAAAAGAGAGTCTTTAACTCAATTTAGCAGTCTAGACGCTTGAAACAAAGCGTGCATTTTGAGGAACTTGTTAATTGGTCTATGTTACTTTTGGTGGATGCGCCGGGTTTAAAATGCCGCCCGAGTTCATACTCAAAAAATAATGAGAGTTCGGTATAACAAAAAAACAGTTAGAATCGTTCATAATTTTTACAAATACTGTGTATCTTTCGTATGAAAACCTTTAGCTTAATCTAGTAAGCATACCAGTTGTGACGAAATGTCAAAAAAATTACTTAATTTTGCATACTAAAACTTTGGACCGTTAACATAATATTGTTATTAACTCTTTAAAATGCGGTCTTTGCCAGATCAATTGAAAATTGCGGAAATAAAATTATTGTACAAAAAAGGCAAAAAATTACCTAAATAACCATCAACGTTTTTGTATCCGAATTAGTAATGCGGAAAAAGATTACTGTTTTATTTTGAAAATCGAAATTTATTCAGGAAATGTTAGCATGAATACATAGTGTCCAAGTCTACTGCAATTTTGCCACCTTGCAAGACATTCTCAATACTTGAAATTAAAAATTATTTCTTGGCTTATTCAAAGCATTTTTTATTATCTAAATCATTGAACTAATCTCTCCCAATTTGTAAAGTTAAAAAAATGGCAGATAATGAATGAAACAGGCTTACAAAAGTTAGAAATATGTACCTCAAGGAACTATGCTATGAGCACTGTGATTTATTATTTACATGAACGATATTAATACAACTGTTAAGGATGAAAATATTATATTGACAAACATTCCAGATATATAATATCTCTAATAAAGAAAAACCTAAATTTCTTCTATAAAAACACATTAGTAATATAAGCAAATAAAAAAATTAGATTTTCACTTAACAACCCTTTTGTTGAGTCAAATTGTAAAATTTTTTCGACTTGATGTTGACAAAGGTTTGAACTGGACATTCCATCCTGAAGATATAGAAGAAAAACCGAGAAGATTGCTTTTGTAATAATAATGTTAAAAATTACTTAAATTCAGACTCTTTAAAAATGATTTACTTTACCAATGTTCAATGCCTTTTACAATATGCACTAAAATTTTTTAGACAAGGAATAAGAAGTATTTTTAAGTTACAAATTAAGATAATACGTGACATGTTAAATGTATAGTGTAGTGAACGATGTAGAGGTGTTTTACACATTACATATTATAATTAAAAGAACTGTTTATACATATTGTTACGAAATAAACCCATACACCGCCTCGATACACCGCGTCTGGGTTTTCTGGTATGTGCGGCGATAATGGATGACTCATCATTGGTGACGGCGGCCGGGCGGCATTCGCATAAAGACAAGTCGGGAGCGGGTTGCGGGAAATCTCGAATGCGGGGTCCAGAAAAACCTAGAAGCGGCGTTCGCGATCCATCCAGAGAAACGTATGGATTTAAATAGAGGCCACCGTCGGGAACGATGATTCAGCTAACGAGAGGAATTGGGCGAAGACAGAGTCCAGTCAAGTAGCACTGGAATCATTTTGTACATAATCGCTGTAATAGCTAGTCGTGTAAATTTGAATTATTGAGAAATACATTGTTGAGTTTCACCCACGTCGATTTTAAATACCCGTTCATCGTAACAATATACTAACATATATGAAATTTAATATTTCTTTTCAAACATAAGCGATACTTTGAAATTCATAAAAAGATATTAATCACAACATTAGATTCTTCAATCCTGCAATTAGAACATCCCAAACATATCAATACTCAAGAATGGATACATTTTAGAGTAGATTTTTTAATATATTACCGAAATATATTCAGGAAATTGCTGATCTGACACATTATAAGTAGATAGTTTGTAAGTTTATTATAGATAAAGAACCGTATTCTACTAATAATAATTATAAAGCTTGTACCCAATCGTATCTTTATGTATTGTATGTTTGTTTGTCTAAACAATTGTCCACATTATCGTTATATACATACCCGTTGACCAATTTATCACACTTGTTTGTAAACATTGTAGTGATAAATAAAGTTTATATTACGCAGTATACATTTTGTGTGTAGGACGCCTTGTCACTTACAGTTAGCAAGAAAATGGCCACTTTTATTGACATACAAAGTTTATATAGGTCATATATATACAACCACTGTCTATAACCCACAATTTAAGCGCGGCGGGAAGAAGGATTTTTGATTGAAGCTTGAGAGAGTGCGAAAGTGCTATGGCTAATTTTGAAAAGTTTTTTTCTTCTTTGTGGAAAGTGCAGTTTGACCCCCCGACCACCATAAGTACCTTTTTGGGTCGTTTGCCCGTTTAAGTACCAGTTTTTTTGAATCGCCGCCCCCGAGCGAGAAACCGTACCACCGTCACCGGGTTTCTTTCCCTGTCGTCACCGTCACAAGTCGAAATCGTCGTGCACGCGTCGTGAACCGCCACCGCGCTCACCTCGCGGGTCGCCGTACCGTCTTCGGGCGATTTCCAGGTTCAAGGTCGTCGCCCTCAAGCCCAGACGAGCCCGTCCTGAAGGAAGTCGCTGCTCCGGAGGAACGACCGTGCCGGACGTTTAATTCGTTTTTTTGTAAAACCGTTTTGTGTAGCTGGTGGCAGGGTATAAACCCGATTTATTATTTAAAATATTTCTAGCCGTTTTATTTTATTGTCGTGTATTCGCTGGCGCTCACCACCTGAGATCCGTGTCTCCGGCTTGAGAGCAACCCCGGCGTTCCCTCCCTCCCTGGGTCAGTAAGACGTGTTTCTTAAATCAGCGACACTAGTCGGCCCAAGGTTTGGTACCCAGGTACGCCGCCACCACACGTTATCGGCGAGATTCCGGACCGTCCGTCACACCGGAATTTCGTCACACTATAATTAATTACACATATGACGCCTCCATGAATAGGTTTTTTTACTTTTTTACCTGCTGAGCGTCAGCAAAGGAAGTATTGCTTTAAATTATGACAAAATCTAAGCAGCTACGGCCAAGAGTAAATTATTAGAGGTTATACATTATTAAAGTTTCTTAAAATTAGGGCTAATGAATTCTAATTCCACATATAAAAAAATCAGGAATGAAAAAAGAATACGGGATTTGCTATAACAAAGACGAAATCGATATGAATTTTTTGTTTTTTATTTATGTACAGTAAAATTGTAGTATAGTAAAACAAAACTGCGACATAATTATGGCACTGCGTAAAATTATGTCGCTGTTATCAATAAATTTTTAGATAGAAAATCTTTTGCAGGCAAATACAGAATTTGGGGTTTACTTTTTTGCTGAAATGGAACTACAGTTTCTTCGAGCGATTACAATATGTTTTATTGTGACATTAATAAGTGCAGGTAAGAGCACAAATAACTGTATTATATTACTGGCGAAAATTTTACAAAAAGAAATACACTTTCTATTTGCAGAAGATATCGTGTGTCCCGATAACGAAGTACCCGGGTGTGAATCAGCTTGTGCACCCACGTGTCAAAATAAGAACCCATCAAAGTCGTGTACTAAACAGTGTGTTGGCCCTTGTATTTGCGAGAAAAATTACATTAGAGAAGGACCAGGTGGTATTTGTGTACCAAAATCGTGTAAAGGTAGGTTCAACGATTAAATAGAAACGAGTCGTATCACAATTGTTGTTTTATCTTAGGTGTTCTGATTTGCAAAGAACATGAGAAATTTGTGTCTTGCCCAACAACATGTCCCATAATTTGTAACCAAACTCTTCCCACAATATGCCCAAAGATATGTCTTAGAGTAGGATGTGTTTGTGAAGATGGATATGTGCGAGAATCAGTAAACGGGAAATGTGTTTGTGAGAGCAAATGTACTTTTAAATGTCCAGATCCAAACAAGGTTTACAACGACTGTAAAATTACGTCGTGTCCAGGCACTTGCTCTGAACCAAGCAGAGTTTGTAAACGATGTATTAAAGAGTGTATTTGTAAGGAAGGATACCTACTGGATGAAACCACTGGCCAGTGTGTTGAAAAAGACGGTTGTCCGAAGACTTAAGCAAACTGATACAAGTTGACACTGCATATTATACGTATATGCTATGGTTTAACCTTTGCAAAAATATGTGTGTCTTACACTATTTCTTATAAAAGTTAAAAGCACTGTACCATCTAGCTTTTCAATAAAATATTATTCCAATTTTTCTTGTGTTTATTCTTTTCTCTTAGATACATCGATATTTTCATTCAGTACGAGTTTGAAAAGTATTTTAGGGGACTAATAAACGCAGGTAAGATTTTTATTTGTATAATAAATGTGTCTGTCTATTAATATATTTCTAAGAAACCATCATGTTCAATGGATAAAAAACCGGTATACGAAACAAAGTGTCCTCCTACATCTTGGAGTCCAGTTCTTTGTGTCAGCCATTACTGTCACAGTGTTTGTAAACAAAGTTAGAAAAAAGAAAGACGTAGTGATAAATGTATTCCATTTGGAGCATGGAGAGGTATCATTATTTATCTGCTTCGGATACAACAATATAAGATAGGTGAAAGTAGTTTCTAAATAGTCAAGGACGAGATCAAGTACGGTTAAAGTTATTTGGTGTAAATTGATTTTAATACAACAGGTTTTTCATTTCGTATTAAAGAATAGTGAACATTTATTGATTTATTTTCAAACAAACTGAAAGAAAAAAATTATATAAACAATTAAATAGCACTTTTAAAGCCCCTCTAGAATCTTTATCTTCATTTATAGTTTTCACATTTGGCAAAACCTTTTTCACAAAACTCAAATAAATCACGTTCGTAATTTGGATTGATTGTGCGAAGTGGGTTTTAATTTACTGTGGGTTTTATTTTGCTAAATGTTTTCTCTCGATACTCGTTGGACTCGACTTGTTAACTGAATTCAGCTCTCGACTGTGCTTCCCGTTTAAACAGCACGCCGTCCTTCTCGTAACGCCTACGTCACCGGGTCTAGGCTTCTCTGGGGCACCCATTCGCGACTTCCGCTTCCAGGATCTTCTCTAGCCGCCCTCTCTGGCAATGAGTCATCGCCGACGTACATACAAGAACCCATAGGCGTCTCACCGGGGCGGCGTATGGGTTTATTTCGTAACAACACTAAAGAATTTATTTAATTAATTCAATAATTCACCAAATTTTTCATAAACTAGGCATTTGCATTTCAGGGACCGCCAATACTAACACACTCATTGGTGATTGTTTTTAAAAAGGATGGTTATTGGAATAAACATAACAAAATTGCAGAAGTGTGCATAAGCTACGGTAAAGATTATTTTCTAAGCAGCGAAGAATTCTTTTAAATCTGATCATAAATTTTGCCTTATATAATCTAAAATGCACAATAGCGTAATATGCGTTTGGGGAATACGATGTATTGATTTTTTTTAAGAGAAACTGCATAACATTACTTATTAATATTACTAAAAGTGATCAGTATAGTTACTCCATAAAACTAAGACTCTCATTGATATGAGCCCATAGAGAAGCTGCAGAAGTTTATCCTTTAGTTGTGTTGTCATTAAAGTGAAATACATTTCAGTGTAAAGTGTGTGTATAGTGGATTATAAATTACAATGAATCATTTTTTGCACAATTTAAAAATGAAGGTCAGGATAGATGGTCACCTGAGAACTTGTTTGGTCTACAGACCAGAGCGCACTCAGGCCAATATCGACTCTAAGAGTTCAGAAACGATTTGATCGATAAGCCATGTTTCGTGATCTGATACACATTCTAAAGAGTTTCGACCGTAATTTCTACGGGAAAGAATTGCTTGGTCAGACTCCACAACGAACAAGTGAACATTTTAGTGGCTACATTTATGTATTGATTATTGACATGCAACTATGTTTTGTTTAATTAAAAAATAATTCTTTAACTTTGTTTGGTACTAGCAAAATTCCGCAAATTAACAATACTGTTAAAATCGTCATCACGCAATGGATTTTTTTCAGAAAAGTGTAGGCATTTTTATGGTTTGTAAACATTAGGATCTACTTTGCATGGATTATTATTTATTTGTTTTTTATTAATCGATGTTTTAATTTCCCCATTTCTTGACTTTCGATTTTTCAATTTTTCAACTATTCGATTTTTCAATTTTTCAATTTTTTAATTTCGCAGTTTTTAGATGTTTCAATTTTGCGATTTTTCAGTTTATTTGTTATTCAGTTTCACGATTTTTAAATATTTGTTTTTGCAATTTTTTAAATTTGACTTTTATAAACCCAGTTTTCCGATTTTTCATTTCTTCGATTCTTCAATTTTTAATTTTTTTTGGTTTATGATTGTTCAATGTTTCAATTTTTTAAAGTTTTGATTTTTCGACTTCACTTTTTTGACTTTTTGATTTCTCAGTTTTTCAGTTTTGGGATTTTTAGTTTCTCAATTCTTCAGTTTCTCAATTCTTCAGTTTTTCTGTCATCCTTCAACTTTTCGAAATTAGAGTTTTGGGATTTTTCAGGTTATTTATTATTCAATTTTTGGATTTTACAATTTCTCAATTTGTCTATTTCTCGATTTTCATTTTTTCGATTTCTTAATATTCCTATGTTTCAGTTTTACGTTTTTTAATTTTTCTCCTCTTCACTTCTACGATTTTTCAAATTTTGGCTCTCAATTTTTTAAATTTTCAATTAATCGATGTTTTAATTTTCCTATATATTTGTTGACTTTCGACTGTTTCGATTTTTCAGTTTTTCAATTCTTCAATTTTTTAATAATTCAGGTTTTTGATTTTTTACATTTTCTACTTTTTAAGGTTTCGACTTTTCGATTTCTCAAATTTTCTATTTTTTAATTTCTCAGTTTTTGGATATTTCAAGTTTGAGATTTTTCAGTTTTTCTTTCATTTTTCAATTTTTGGAAATTTCAGTTTTAGGATTTTTCAGTTTACCTATTATTCAACTCTTCGATTTTACAATTCCTCAGTTTTTCAATTTTACATTTTTCCCATTTTTCTCTTCTCGAATTTTACGATTTTTAAATATTTGGCAAATTTAACTTTTATAAACTCTCAATTTTTCGATTTTTTATTTTTTCAATTCTTCAATGTTTCAACTGGTTGGGTTTTTGTTTTTTAAATTTTTCAATTTTTTAATTTTCGTCTTCATTGTTTTGATTTTCTGGTTTCTCAATTTTTCAATTTTTTAAATTTTTTTGACATTGCAGTTTTGGGATTTTTCTGTTTTTCGATTCTTCAGTTTTTCTTTAATTTTTTCAGTTTTTCATTATTTCAGTTTTGGGATTTTTCAATACTTCGATTCTTCCACTTTTCGATTTTTGACTTCTGGGGTAGGATTTTGTTTCTACCGATACGATACGAAGCGATAATGAAGCGATAAATGGCAAGGACGAAAATATAAATTTCAGATGTGGAAGAAAAAGACGACCACATTTTATCCGCACCGATATTTTATCGTTATAGAAACAAAATCCCACCCCTGATTTTTCGATTTGTCGATTTTTTTACTTTATCGATTTTTAAATTTTGGATTTTTAAATTTTTGAAATTTTAGATTTTTTACTAATTCTTGGATATTTCAGTTTTTCAAGGTTTCGAATTTTTCAAATGTTTCGATTTCAAAATTTTTCGATTTTTCGACTTCCCGGTTTTTTAATTTTTTATTTTTAAAATTTTTCCATTTTTCGATGTTTTGATTTCCCGATTTACCGAGATTTGGATGTTTCGTTATTTTAATTGTACAGTTTCTCGATTTATGACTTTTTCAATTTAGAACTTTTCGAGTTTTTATTTTGGCCTATTTTGGTTTCTCAGATTTTCCATTTTTCTGTTTTTCATTTTTTTGTTTTTCCGCTTTTAGATTTTTTTGTATTTTTCAATTTTTCAACTATTAAGCTAATTTTTTCGATTTTGGCTTATTTCAGTTTGTTAATTTTTCGTGACTTTTTGTATTTCTCGAATATTTGAACTTTCGGTTTCTCAATATTTCAATTTTTCGAATTTTAAAATTTTTTGATTTCTCGATTTATCAAGATTTCGATGTTTCGATGTTTTGATTGTTCAATTTTTTCATTTATCAATTTTTCAATTTGCAACTATTTCGGTTTCTTAACTGTCTCAATCTTTTGATTTTTCGATTTTCCAGTTTTTTGATGTTTCGATTTTCAATTATCCCATTTTTCAATTTTTTAAATTTGGGAGTTTTGATTTCTCGATTTTTCGTTTTTCGGTTTTTAAATTTTTCGATTTTTTAAATTTTACGTTATTCGATTTTTCAATTTTTCAGTTTAACGATTTCTCTGTTTCCATTTCTTGACATCTTGGTTTTTCGATTTTTAAAATGTTTCGATTTTCAGATTTCTCGATTTTTCAGGTTTTCGATTTTTCAAATTTTCGATTATTTTGATTTTTCATTTTTTTCTTAGTGTTAATATCATACAATGTATCGAAAATAACCACAAAAAACGTCATTAAAAATATTTAAAAATTCGTAGAAGGTATAACACAATGTTTCCAAAACATAAAAATAATTACATTTTCCCACAAAAAATCATTGCATTATTAGGATTTCAACAATATTGTTAAATTAAGACATTTTGCTAGTGTAAAATACAATTAAAGAATTAATTCTTAGTTAAACAAAAAAATAGTTGTATGTCAAAATCGTTTGTTTGTAAATATGATGTTCACTGTTCGTTACAAAATCCGACCACACAACTATTTCCCCCAGAAATTATAGTCCAAACCAACCAAATCGCTTCTGAAAGCTTAGGGTCCATACTGGCCTGAGGGCGCTCTGGTCTGTAGACAAACAAGTTCTCAAGCGACGATATTAAGTTTTTAATTTAATTTTATAATTTCATCGGGGTACGTAAACACTCTTTTATAACACAAGTTGAAATTTTTCAGATTCGATTTTTTTTTTCAAATTGACAGCCGATTTTTAGGTATTTTTTGGGGTTGCATCCAAATATGAATTACATTTGTCTACGTCACGTAAGGAGTTTTGAACAAGACTTATTTTTTTTATTATTGAATAAATTATTTACAGGCTACTGAAAAACTAAATTAGTTTAAATATATTTAAATCTAATTAGAACACACAGTAAACTTAAATTGTCAGAAAACTTTAGTGAATTTTGTAAATATTTGTCCCTTTTTCAACAGCAAAAAAATCTATTAAAAGCACTAGATAGATTCCAAACCATTGGATCAAGGCAGACCCATGAAAATTATTTAGGTGAAGTGGTATATCGCTAATACATACTGTCTCGAAATAAACCCATACGCCGTCCGGGTACGATGCCTATGAGTCTTCTAGTATGTATATGTTTCTTCTAGTATGTAGTATGACACATCGGCCGGGTGGCGCGGCGTTCGCTAAAGCAAAGCCTAGAAGCGGATGTCAAGACGGGCCCAGAAAACCCTCGAAGCGGCGTTCTCGATCCATCGAGGGAAACGTATAGGTTTAAATAGAGGCCACCTTCGGGAACGATTATTATTCATCAAATCGAGTCCACGAGAGTACAGTCAAGTTGCGCTGGAATTATTTTGTACATAATCGCTGTGTAATAATCAGTCGCTAGTATTAACCGTGTCGAAAAAAAAATGGTAACGATAATTTCTTGTTAATGCATTTTTGTTTTTTAAGATGCATTGGATATAATTCACAATGCAATTTAAGTAGATAAGTCCGCTCTAAAATTCCTTTAACTGATAAATTATGAATATTGAGAAACTTTGTAATTCTGTTACGTACAGTTTGTTCAAACATTTTTGAGAAAACACTAAGCCCTAAGACAGCGCGATAGTTTGCAAGTTAGTTCGATAATCTTGTTTAGTATAGATAGATACTACAGATAATAACTTTATTACACTGGAAACTTCCATAGACAAAGAGAACTTAGTAAAAATATCACTTGAGGATACGCAAGTTCTGCAGTAAATTGTGTTAGTTGAACTGACAGTTTACCGAATTTATATAGGTTCTTTTATTGTTATTAATATTTCTAATAACATCATTTTCGAAATAATTCCATGTTCAATTAATAAGGTACTGGTGTTTTTATTGTTATAATGGGAGCTGTGTATTATGTTTTTAACATAATTGTACATTTCTGGTTGTATTAGGCTATGTAATTTCTATATAATTGTTTTTTACGGAATATATTTAAATGTGTAGTCTTAGCATAATTATGGGTTGAATTTAAATTTGGTGGATCAACAATCTGATTTAATAATTTACATGAAAATTTAGTTTTAATAAGTTTAAAACTGAAGCTTTGTAATTATATGTACATATTTAAGAACAAAATAACACATGGAAGCCTGGATTGTTTCCAAACCTGTTTTTCTAATTCTAGGCAGCTTTCCTTACAAGCTTGTTGTAAAATAATAATTTAAAAAGTATATGTTTAATTTTTCAATTTTGCTCGAAGTATCAAAGGCAGTACACCATGTATGTAAAGTAACAAATAAATTTTAAGATATATAACAAGGCTTTACATTAATTCATAACAAAATAATGAACAGTAGCTTTAATTTTTTTAACAAACTTTATATTTCTTATTTATTTATTTTAATTTAAATAAATAGACGAAATTAAAAGAAACTATATAGACAATCGAAGTATCCCTTTTTTTAAATGACAATTTTGTAATTCGTTAAGTTTCTGGTGGTTGATGAGATTTGTATTTCAAATTTTCACATAGTTAATACAGAAAACGTCAATGTGTGGTAAATACAAAAAATCCCGAAATTGGTTAACAAACAGTAAATTGAGAATATCTATTAAGACAACAAAAATATTGTACATAGATATTCCATAATAAAATAATGGTATTGAAGAAGTGGAATCTGGTCCACTAAACGTACATAATAAAAACGTGGAACCAGCGTATAATTTCCTATTTGTGCATTCACAATCCATTTACATAATCGAATAATATTAATATTTTACGCCTTCTTGCCAAGAAATTTGTATATAAAGTTTTAAACTGTTTTTTAACTGAGTGTTCTTTTTGTTGACAGGTTATCTCCTCAAACAAGATTTGCTAATCTTCTGTTTTAAACTACCTTGAAGAAAACTTGTAACAAACCTCTAAATAAAATGAACTGTTCACTCTTGATAATTTTCGCCGTATTACTGTCATCAGGACAAATAAACGGAGGTAAAAACATGTTAACTTTCTTGAAATCTAAATTTTAGTGTCTCGGATTTTAGAAGTGCAATGCCCTCCAAATGAAAAACCGGGATGCGAATCGGCTTGTGCTCCTACATGTCAGAATAAATCTCCGCCAGATGTTTGTACCGAACAGTGCGTAAATTCATGTATTTGTATTAAAGGATATATAAGAGAAGGACCTGGTGGGAAATGTGTGCCTGAAGCTTGTGAAGGTATTAACTTTACGCCTTAGAAACTAATGAAAAATTAAACCAATTTCCTCTCATCCCTAGCTCCGCTATAAGCGCGAAGCCCGCCTTAAATAGAGTTGATTACTACTATTTATCATCTTTCTGATTGCGCGTCATCTAACTTTTTCTTGCTCGTTTCAGGCGTACCCATATGCAAAGAACACGAACAGTTTACCACCTGTCGCCATTTATGCCCTGAAATATGTAATCAGACCGAGATCGTCTACTGTATCCTGCTGTGTCGCGGTTCAGGGTGTAACTGCGCAGAAGGCTACGTTAGAACGAAGGATGGAGACTGTATACCCAATACTTACTGTAGACTAAACTGTGAAAAAAACGCCGTTTATAATGCTTGTGGTACGGCTTGTCCACCAACCTGTACCGAACCGCAAAAGACTTGCGGAAAACAATGCGTAAGAGGTTGCTTTTGCAAGAAGAATTATGTTATCGACGATAACACTGGACGCTGTATCAAAAAAGTAAATTGTCCAAAGTGTTAAATTTCACAATATTACGTTACTTTTGTTTTAAAGGTTCTCCTGTATTTTTTAGTATCTTTTAATTTTTGTTTGTTTCCTACACTGCACAGTTTATGTCATCAGTTACTTACAAAAAGTTTCGAAATAAAGATGGATCAGCCTGTCTCCCGTTTCTTTACGGTTAATCAGCGTTAATGACATTTTGTTCTCAGACTCGATTTTATTATTTTATCTCAACGAAGAAGCGTTTTCATTTTGTCAGATTCCCCGACACTGATTAAATTGTTTGGACTACACAACACATTAGCCCAACAGCTGTCTCGATTCTAGGTTAAAAAAGTTTCTGAATAAAATTTTATTAAAAAAGTTTTTGGATACTTAAAAAGTTGCGACATCTATATGGAAAAGCTTTAATCATTTAGAGATGCGTAAAAATACGGGATAAAATTTTTAGTCTTGCGAAAATAAAACGTATAATTTCTTGCTTCTGGCTATTTGTGTCCGACCGGAGTGTTTGTGAATGCGGTGGGTAGTATACAATGGACCAAAAAACCTGAGTGCGTGACTGTATACAAACAAAAAACTCACGTGACTTTACCAATAGACCTTTAATTTCAGAACTGGGGTTAATCGAGTTTTCGGAATTTTTTTTACTTAATACCTAAATAAAAATGCATGCGTTTTTAAACTGCTGTCATTTGATGAATGACTGATTTCATATTTTTTAAACGTTTTAACTCTTATAGAAAATTAAAATATAGATTTCTCGTATCCGTCTGTCTGATATCTGTTGATTACATTAATTGACAGATTGATTGTGAAATTTTAGATGTATTTCACGAATATTGTTAGATAAATGCTCTTTAAAAAGGTGACAAGAAAATATTAATTATATGTATACTGTAAGGATAATAGTTTTTAAATCTTTTGTAGTTAATATGATACACCAGAAAGTGTTATGTTTTTCGTTAGGAACATTTATGTGTATTAGTTTTATGCCTAGCTACTTATAGGAATTAAACGACATGTTATCACTAAAACTAGTGTCAGTGGCGGCACCAAGGGTCGGCAGACAGACGGACAGACAGTCGGGAGAAACGGGAGACCTATCTATTCGTACTCTAAGGGGTCATGAAAGGTCGAAAAAATGTAAAAGTAAATAGTCGGCCGATGGACTTCATTACAATACTTCCTTCGCTTACGCTTGGGAAGTAAAAAATAATGTCTTGATATATTTTACGAAAAATTAGACCGTTGTGACAGGGCAATTAATGGTATTCTCGTAACATTTTGTGTTGTTCAACCTAAAGGTCGATGTATAAATTTGTCGCTGAGGTTGCTATTCGACGTTGACGTTGCCGTTGTAAGATAAATACACAGCGAAGGTATGCGTCGTTTATATCATCCGTTGACGTTGCCGTTGAATGTGGTACTTGAAGGAAAATCCCCTGAAGTAGGGGGGATATTTTTCAGGTTGACATCACTAATTCCACGAAAATCAAATTTTGATAGAGGTAATGATTTTGCAATTAGGCTCCTCCCCTCGGTCTGACAACGAATGAAAAATTCATCAGGGTTGAGATCGAAACGGATGGGTGGGGCTTTTCTTTTGGTTTTCTTTTTTAATTAATACATTTAGTTTTCATTGTACAATACGATTACTTAAGAATATATTTCACACGGTAATTTCTCCTAGAAAAATAAGGATTTTAAAATTAAACTCCGCCCTTCGACTTACGATTAAAAAAAATCAACAGAATATGAGATAGGGCGGGTGGGCGAGCCTTATATTTTGGCTTTTTTTTTTCTTAATATACTTAGGCATCTTTTCGTAACAAGAAACGTGAAAAATGGTTAAAATGGTTTATGTAAGGAAATATGGGTTTTGCAATTATGATAATTTCCTTATTCAAATTTAGCATTTTAAACATGTTTTAAGTTTCATGTTGTGAAAACAAGTCTACACATATTAAAACAAAGAGGTAAAATATAAGCCCCCCCACCCGCCCTATCTCAATTGCGATGATTTTTTCATTCGCCTTGAACCAAGGCGACTCATCTTAACTGCAAAATACTTATTTCTTTACAAAAAAATAAAAACATGTTTTTGAGCATCGTGTTCTTCAAAGAATACTGTGTATATGTATTAAGAAAAAAAATGCAAAATAGAAACCCCGCCCACCCACCCCATCTCAATTGTGATAATTTTTTTTTATTTTTAGAAACATAAAACACGTTTAACAGGGTAAATTTTTCTAAGGAGATATGGAATTTGCAATTAGGCTCCATCCCTAGGTCTGCCAACGAATGCGAACTTCATTACTATTTAGATCAGGGCAGTTATGGGTGCGGCTTAATGTTGGCTTTAATTTTTTCTTATTATACATAGTATTCTTTGAATAGCATGATACTCAAAAAAAATGTCTTGCATGGTAATTTCTTGGCTCTCGACGATTACAAAAAAAATCATCACAATAATTGTGATAGGGCGGGTGGGTGGGGCTTATATTTTGCCGTTTTTCTTAGTATACGTAGTTGTCTTTTCAGAACAAGAAATTTAAAACATGTTTAAAATATTCTTGTAGACAAATACCGATTTTGCTATTAAGGTCTGCCCCTCGATTTGACAACGAATAAAAAAGTCATCACAATTGAGAATTGAGATCAAGGAGGGTATGGGTGGGGCCTAATCTTCGGCTTTATTTTTTTCTTAATATGCCTAATATTCTTTGAACTACACGATACTCAAAAACATGTTTTTAATTTCTCGTAGAGAAATAAGGATTTTGCAGTTAAACTTCGCCCCCTTGGCTCATGACGAATAAAAAAAAATTATCACAACGGAGATAGGGTGAGTGGGCCGATCTACATTCTGTCTTTTTTTTCTTAGTATGTGTAGACTTATTTCGACAACAAGAAACTTAAAACATGTCTAAAATGGTAAATTTTTGTAGTAATCAACTTAAATCCTCCACTTTTCTTGTACAACTAAAAAGTTGAACATCAAAGTTACTATCAACGCCAACTTGGCAACCGAGTTTATAAATGACAATTTTCAGCTCTAATAGCAACGTCAGCGGGAATAGCAACTGCAATGGTGAGTTTATAAATCCCATTGCTAACGTCATTAAAAAGAGATGTTCATGGAATAAGGTAGTTCCAAATCTGACAAAAATCTACGACGAATTTCCTGCAGAGGACATAATTTTGGAAATTTGACTAATGAGGCGCCAATATTTCTTCCGAAGAAGCGGTTCAGTAGTCTACAATGGAGCTTTTCAGATTCATCGTAAAATGGGGCTATTGTTTGTGGCGCTTTGCTTAAGATTTCTTTTAACCATTTGTTTCGGTGGCTTCATGTGAAAGAAGCTTTTCAAAATTGAAGTGATAAAATTGTGCTTAAGGTCCACAATGAACTAAGCGCGGTTAAACAATATTTCCATTTTATCAATTGAAAACGAGAGGAAAGTAAATTTCGATAACGCCATAGAATATTTTGCCAAAGTGAAGACCCCAAGACCCGTAAGCAAGTTTAGTATTTGGTTACGCCGCCACCGACTAGTGTCACTAGTAACACCGAGACCAGGACTATGGTAGTCTTGATCTCGGTCTAATACATTTATTCGCTTTTAGTCACTACTGCACTTAATTTGGGGATCGAAGATCGAAAAGGTCTTAACCTTTTAATAGGAAGGAGCTGGAAGTGCATCTAGGTCTAGATGTGAACAGGGAATACTATAAATACTCTAGACGGTCACTCGGCCTTTCGCGAAGGCCACTTTACAGGGTTGTATTTTTTATTTTACGTCATATAATCACTTCATAAATACTTATGTGAAAGCAAAGTCGTACAAGTGTAAGATGGAGAACAAGAAGTCTTACTTGCTTGTCGGAGGTGTGAGTTTGTCTGATGCTGAATAATCGATCGGATGTCATTTATTTTGTAGCCATTGCTGACAGAACTTTGTTGGACGTAATTTAATTCGGACTGAAAGTCATCAAATCGACAACACCTGGTGAATCAGAGAATTTAAAGCAGACATTTCTTATCTTAGGAACGATGGTGATGCGTTTCAGAATGAAGATAACAATCTCAATGAGTTTAAAAATGGTGAGTATATCGCAATTTGTTCGAAAGATTCCATGAAAAGTTTTGGAACGACTGTGGAAAGAGGGGGGCCCATGAGTGTACCAGACACACAACATGAGCTTGGAATTGACTAACAAATTGACAGGTTTTTATAAGCATTGGTGTACGTGAGTGAATCAACGATGCTGATGATGACATTCGACAAAATACTTTTTTTTATCAATTTTTGGAGAGCCAAATAGACAAAGGGATTTGGGATTTCTCGGAATGAATTGACCGTGAAACTGAAGATTAGAAAAGGACCTTTAAAATACCTTTGTTGACTAAATCAAATGTGGTTAAGATAATAAAGGCATTTCCTTGGCCTACCGTAAAAATTGTGATATTACAATAGGAATACAGGTTTTGAACAACAATTTTCTCGTTTTTGGACAGGTCTGCTTTTAGAATTTTCGATTTGTTAAGAATTTTTGGCGTTTCAAAATTGATAGTGTCTTTGCGTTGTTTCAGACGGTTCAACAGCGTTAATTTCATCAATGGGTATTTTATAGGAAGCAATCGGGAAGCTCAGACCTTTTGATAGAAGGTTAGGTTCAGGATGGGATAATTGATACGACGAAAAATTATCCACCGTTTTGAGATTTTGTGGATTCTGTGAACCCATAGAAATAATATTATACTGAAGTAACTTAGAGGGGGACGCGCGTTGTCAACACAGTGGGACAGAGATAGGGCTCTCTGGGTGGCAAAACATTGACACGAAACTGCAGAGCACTGTGTTTCTGGAGGTTTCTTTCGTGCTGTCGCATGGTGTTTGAAGGTGTATTTTTGCAAATTTACGTTTTATAGGCTCAAGTTACCTTATTTAAATGTGTACAGACTTCTTAAGTTGTATTTTATCGGACTATTTGTTAAACATCGTGAAATAGTGTTGTGCGTATAATTGCATAGAACGTGCAAAGAAAGCAATCCTGTTTCATAGGTAATAATCACATACACAGACGAAGGATTTCGTAAATAATTTAAAAATTTTGTTAGTTTCCCTAAAAATTTTGAGTTACGAAAAAAAAACGGATTATTGCTACAAAAAGAGGGAATTTTATATCTACTGATTATTGTTTTAGCTATTTGTACGTGGATTTAGAAAATAGATTTTACTAGAAAATTCCATACAATTTAATATGTGTAATTTAATTAGGCACCCTGTCACTTTTATCGAAAGTTTAATTACTTTTATCCTAAAAAATTCAGAATTACCAATGAACATACACTACAAGATTAGTTAACTTGTAGAAGATTATTGGACTAACTGAATTCGTAATATATTGTAGATTCTGTATACATTTCATTTTATTAAAAGATTATCTCCACCACTTAACATGATTTTTGTGGTTTCACATTACACATAATTTTAATGTAAACTGTAAAAATATAGTTTTCGTTAACAGACGTTTGTTATAATTGATTGTTTGAACAAATTCGTAAGAAAACGTATTAATTCCCGTTCAAATGAAGCGTTTCTTGCCACCCAGCACGTGATACATGGTCAGCCGTCCTTTGCCCACTGATGCATAACCGCTCTAGCTATTTCTTTCTTATGTTGATTACACTCACTCGCGTATGGAAACGTATACAAGGCTCCATCCACTCCTTTATTAGATCAATGTGTGAACCTGATGTAGAGGATTTTCGTGAAAGTTCTAAGAAAAGTCTTGGGCAAAGTCTAATTCTTATCCAGTTGCTTGTACTGATCTCGAGTAGAAACAACTTTTGGCACGATAGTCTTTTACGAAAAAACGAAGATGTAATCATTAATTTTAGAAATGAGGATAAGAAAGTTTGGGTTCAGTAAAGTCTAAACATTTTATATTTGAATTTGAAAAATTGAAAGGTTTTTTAAAAGATATACGTCCAGTATAGGTGTACAGGTTTGTGATATTATATTTTGCGGCCAGATTTAATAACAGAAAATAATTAATAAAATGCGCCTGCTAAGATAAAACTGATTTTGGCAAATGATATACCCTCCAAGAAAAGAGAGGGTGGGTGGGCGGGGCTAGTACCTGCTAAGATAAGACTGACTTGGGCAAATGATATACCCTCTAAGAAAAGAGAGGGTGGGTGGGCGGGGCTAGTACCTGTTAAAATAAGAGTGATTTTGGCAAATGACTTATTATTTAAGAAATTACATTATTATAAGAAAAGACACTAGAGGCTCCAAAGCAGTTTCAAATTCTTTCCAAACAAGAATGCCTAGAACCTCAAGATTGTTTTAAATTTTTCGTAAAAAAAACGGGGTCCCAAAATTAACTCAAAAACTGGATATCGAAATCTGCAAGAAAATGAGTTCAAATATTTCGAAAAATACTCCAAAAATGTTAAAAGTGCCAAAATTAGTGTTATTTTATCAAATACTAGCCCCGCCCACCCACACTCTATTTTTTTGGAAGGTATTTGATTTGCCAAAATTAGTCTTATCTTAGTAAGTACTAATCCCAACCTCCAACCCTCTTTTCATTCTAACGACTAATTTTATTTTTGTTCAATATAAGATCATTCATTTCATTCAGATCAAATCAAATCGGTCACTGAAAGGAGACAGGGTGGGTGGGCGGGGCAAATTATGTTCTTCTGTTGAGTGGGAGTGGAAAAAAGACGTGAAAAAGGTAAAAAAAGCGCTTATCGTAACTATTTTGGTTATACTATTTGCTATAAAATTTATTTCTTATTTCATGCATCTGACCTGACTTGACCTAACGAGTTCTGACCTGTTCTGACTATTCTATTATCTCAAATAAACAAGTTTTAAACATTTTTGTGAATATACAAAAACCACGAAGTACATTCTTAAAACAATTATATTTTGTGAAACAAAAAGTAATAATTATTTCATCTAGGAGTATAAAATTTTTTTACCGAGTAATTTTAACCGAACTGTAAAAATTGCTATATTTCAATTGGAAAAACGGTAGGAATTTCGGAAGAAATGAAGCTGAAAATGACTTCCGGATATCGAAATCTACAAGAAAATGAATTCAACTAATTTTCGAAAATAGTCAAAAAATGGTCGAAAATGTCAAACGCTCCAAAGTCAGACTTTTCATATTAAATACTAGCCCCGCCCACCCACCCTCTATTTTCTTGTAGGATGTCACTTGCCAAAATCTGTCTTATCTTAGTAAATATTAGCCCCACCCGCCCACCCTCTATTTTCTTGAAAGGTATGTGATTTTCCAAAATCAGTCTTTTCTTAGCAAGTACTAGCTTGGCAAATGATATACCCTCTAAGAAAACAGAGGGTGGGTGGGCGGGGCTTATACCATCTAAGACTGATTTTTGCCACAGTATCCGACCTGTCAATGGCTACTAAATAGATAGGTGATTTTGTTATGTAATCTAAATCCGGGGTAGGACTAGGAACCAATACAATGAAATTCGGGGATAAAAAATGTAAACATTTTAATATTATTTTATGTTTTATGTTCAGGAAAGAAAGAATCGGCATGTGATTTATACTATTTGTTGCGAGGAATGGAAAGACAAATTAAAACAAAACGCAGTATAAATCCATTACAAATCTTCATTACTTTTCTCGAAATTAAAATTTCCGTGTCAACACTCACTGTTCATTCCAGACTGTAACAGAAACAACAACAATAAAAATTCATGCGACAAAAGCTCATAATCCCTCATTACACAAACACGTATTTAAACAATCCGCTAACGTACAAATTATAAAAAATTCCTTTGTTGATTACAGTACTCGAGAAAAACATTTTCGCCAGGCAACATGACGCCTCTCCTCACATAATTAACATTTGACCCATCAAAAACAAATTAAAACCACCTCAAATATTTGCACAAAAAAAACCTTCACCCAACAAACACGGCAACGTTTAACGTACTTAAACACCGCCTCACGCAAAACCCTACCGTATTTAAGCAACTTCGTCCGAAAACAAAAAGTCTTATGCCAGACACGATGCAAATCATACTCCTCTCGTTTTCTTTAGTCCTCGTCTACTCCGGTGAGTCAAGTCAAGTAAAAAAATGTTAAAAAAACAACCTCGACCTTGTTACAGGCAGCGTTCCTCGATGTCCGGAAAACGAGCACTTCACAAGATGCGCATCGCCATGCCAAGCCAATTGTCAAAATAACGTTACCCTGCCGTGTTCAGAAGTTTGCATAATGGGGTGTGTTTGCAGAGAGGGTTATATCAGAGAGGGTAAAGGAGGGCAGTGCGTGCCGAGCTGCGAGGGTATGTTGATGTTTTTATTTTAGAATAAAAGGACAGTTTATTTGAGTTTGGGGGAAATAAACACACTTTCGCGTCATTGTGTTATACGATTTTGTTGTTGTGCAATATGTGTGCAATCCAAATTGCAACTCGTGATTAATGCATCTACGCGTGAGCGCTTTCCTCATTTTTTTTACAACCGTGCCACTATATTTTATGGATTTTTATGTAACAATAAAATTCAATTTTAATATGTGGAGTGTCTATAAAAAAATCCAAATTATGAAATATTTCAGTTTTCATATTTCAGTGTTATCAAATAGAACGCCTTCAAAAGGAAAAATAAAATAGACTTGTAAAGCCTAAGAAGGTAGTAATCGGAATATGCAAAAATATATAGGGTGTTTCATTAAAAAAAAAAACTACATTCTATGTTATATCTTGTTTCTCAAAATACACAACACTTTGTATAGTGTAAAACATTTTTAATTATTGCTACTCAAAGAATTGTACAGCTTTGGCTTTGGTTTTTTTTTTACATCTTAATAAATAATTAACGAAATATAGGAGAACGTGCGCTTAGTGACTCACCCTGTATATAGGAATCTATCAACTAAACATTACAATATTTTGATTTGTGTTTATTTTCATCTAAAGAGAACGATAAAGAAATAAGCAGTTTATTTGTTTGTAGGTGTTCCCATATGTGGCAAGAATGAGAAATTTGCGAGTTGTGGTAGCGCTTGTCCACGAAATTGTGGAGATGAAGAGGTTAAACCCTGTAGCTTGATTTGTGTAAAGGGGTGTGTTTGCGAACAGGGCTATGTAAGAGAAAAAGGCGGAGGAAGATGCGTGGGAGAAGAAGACTGTAATAAAAGTATTAAATGAAAATAAAAATTCTGACACAGTTCGTGTTACACGATTATATTTGATGTTCAGGGTTTGCCTGTGCTTTTCGTAAAGACTGCACCGTTTTAATTAATGTTTAACGTAATTTATTTGAGTCATTAATATCGCTGTTGGGGCAAATTTGTATTTAATTAATAATATAGACCGTTAGTAGGGCTATAATTCATTATCGCCATCTGAATTTCAACATGATAAATTGCCATCTATTTATTGTAATGTATTTTAATATTTCAGTTCGACTGCAATGAATTTGAATTTAATTCCAATACCTTGTGGATATTTCCTATAAAAATTTTAAAACTTAAAGAAAAGTTGAACACAAATTTTTATCTAATTCTTTTCACTGTGACATTGTCACTTTGATTTTAGAAATCAACATTATTTCATGAGTACTCTATACAGGGTGTTCATTTTATCTGTTCACGCCTGACAATTTTTGCATAGGCAACATATTATACACCCCAGAGACGACTTCGTTCAATTTAGTTTTTTTTAAGAAATTAATACTCAATTTATTAATGAATCAGATTACACCGAAAACGAATTTATAATAAATGTTCAAAATACTTGCTTCCACTATCTTCACAAAGTCCTATGGGAGCGCCATCATTTTGAAACCGAATTATTCTTCGTATGTCTAGCTCTACGTTTTCCAACAGTTCAGGTAAAATATTCTTTAAAAAATTTAGATACATAGGTCCGTTTAAATTTCCTTAAAAAAAATGTGGACCAATGACGTGGATACCAACAATTCCACACTAAGCATTAACTTTGAAAACTACTTGGAAGTGCTTTTCCTGATACCAATCGGGATTTTGCTGGGCATAGTAATGTGAGTTATGTCTGTTTACACACCCGTTATTGGTAAATGTGGCTTCATCCGTAAACAAAACGTTAAATAAAAAATCTTGGTTGTCTCGTAATTTAGCTCTCACGAATTCACAAAACACAAAGCGCCGAATGAAATCGCGTTCTGTTAAATGTTGGACAATTGTCACAAAATATGGATGAAATCGGTTTACCTTTAAGATGTTGAAAACCGAACCCAAACTAATCTTCATTTGTCACGTCTTTGACACACGTGGAGATTTTTTGCTACAATTTAAATTAGAGCATCTTCATAATCCGGCGTTGTTACAGGTCGATTTCTAACTTTTTTTTTGAGTTGCCCAAATTCCCGTAATTTTGTTTTCAAGTTTTCTAAACGCTGGATTTGAGGGAGTTCTCCTATTGGAATATTGCCTGGCGTAGAGACGAACAACAGTATCAAAATGTTTTATTAATAAGAATTACATAGATAGCAAATGTTATAAGTCAAACAACAATGATAATGTTATCGGCAGGATTAATAGGAAACATTTGAAATTTCATTTATTAATATCACAAATCGTAACGTGCAGAACCAATTAACGATCCGTTTTATTTCCAAACTTAAACTGTTGAAAATGAGAACACATTTTATGAACCTCAAATGTGTTCTCGTGGGTATAATCCTGTGTATTTTTTTATTAGGCAATTAGCGAAATTACGTTCCGGACAATGTATTTTACGTTAACGTACACAATTGTCTACTATTATTAAAAAAAGAAATATTACACGTATGTTTCCATTGCTAGATGACAAGATGACAGATTGTTTTCTTATTGAACTCGGTTTATTTATTATATATTATATATATTTAGATGAACGAGGGGGGAAGCTTTCATCATCATCTGTGACTGTCAAATGACGAAATATATTCTCAGTTATTTAATTGTTTTTTCAACTTTCATTCTCTTCTTCAGTGACTTCATTTCAATAATTTTTTACACATTTTTTCTTTTTCGCATATCTGTATATTGCACCTTACACTTGGTTGCACTAGAAAGTTGACCAGGATCATAAAAAAGTTCTAAGTTTACTTAGGCAGATCCTGTTACATCCTTAGCTTATGTTCGAGAAGTAAAAAGTAATAATTTCACATTTTTACGGTAAAATATACAGGGTGCCGCATCCAGGGAATTAACATGGGAATTGGTTTTTATTTTATAATATCTCCCCAGATCACTTTAAAGCTATTATTGAGTGATGCCTTTGTGGAGGTCGAAGAGGGCTATGGACCTGTATTTTTTTCAAATCGTTGCATCGCGCTCATTCACTGTAAAAAGGTTTTAAAAATCGTATTTTGAAATTCTCGCCCGAGCCGATTTGTCGCGAAATGTTCCGTCGCACTGTCGAAGTTCGGCGATCGCGTATTTTCATTATCCATGCAAAATTCAAATGTCAAAGTGAAATTAGAAATTATTCTCATCAGAAATCAACGAACAACTCAAACTGAATTATTTTATCCAGTGTGATGATTATTGTAGGACAAATTAAACCGAATAAATGCACAAATTGATCCATTCATTCGTCATAGTGCGCGACCCCGTCAAACGAGCCATCTCGAACTACACTCAGGCCGTATCCAAAAAGCCCGAGATGAAGACTTCGAGCAGCTGGTCTTCCTCAAAACTCCATCGGCAGCATTGTGACATGTCCTGGGAGCCCGTCACGCTAGGAAGGAACGACTCAAATTGAATTATTTTATCCAAGATGACGATTATTGTTAGGTCAATTTAAACGGAATAAATGCACAAACTGCACAAATTATTTTATTAGGGTATGTTGCTGGTGGTGGTCGAGTCTTTATTAGTAAAATCTCATTAAAATGCCATGTTCTTCTGCGATTAGATGAAAAAGCGAGGGCCCGCTTTTCTTATTGTGTGATGTTAAGATCTACCATCAAAACAGCTGGCGCTTTTGAAGAGAACCTTTTAATGCACCATTGAGATAACTACAAATAACAAAACTTAACAATTGTTGATGAATAAAGTAATGAAATATTGTACGAATCTGGAGAAGTATTGCACTATTTTCAAGCTACTCCAGCTACTCAATACACGTTTATTAAGCTAGTTGATGGTATCTCTTCAAAAGATAGCTTAACACTCAGAATTGCAGTCGGTAAATAAGCAGGTTAATTTTAATATTTTAAATCGGAAATTGCAAGAAGCGCAGTTATTACTTCTCAGAGAGAAAACGTCGCGCCGATAAGCGGCACGACTTAACGCGCTCGTTGGAAAAACAATCTAAGGAATTTGTCGTAGATAGTTAAATATGCTAACCAAAATTTGGCTAATCATCCCCACCAATAATTTGGATACGCCATTACAAGGAATAGTATTTTAAAATGATTTGAATGTTACACAAAAATATGCTCATATACGAATCCACTTTAAGTTTTTCGCTAAACGTACAAATGTTCGCAAAAACTTTTGCAAGGTATAATAACGTTTTATTCTCAACACAGTTTATTAGAGAGAACGGCGACCATGCGGTACTGCGATTGTGGGTTCGATGCCGAACTTGGCCTTTTCTTTTTTTTTTCTTGCTTTGCTATAACGCTATGACTACTTTTCTTTTGTGCTGTGCTTAGAATTATCCATGTTAATGTCATCACAAATTTTTTATTGATCAAATTAAGAACGCGTCTCCCCATTTTCTCGAAAATGTGAAGAATACGCACTTTTTGATATAATAACGATAAAATAAGATTACTAATATAAGTAACCTTCGACGACGACTTTTTTTTGGTTATGTGTGAGCGTGTCTCATTTTTTGGAGGAATTTAATAATATACAATAATATTGATTTTGTTTCATTAAATATTTATAAATTAAGGAACATCCCCCAATGTAATCTAGAAAAAATTTGATGACGTTATCTACAGTTTTGCTTCAAATTCTAACTGAAAACAGCATATCTTTGGAGTCAGAATTTGAAAACTCACGTTCTACATAAAATGAAACAGTAATAATCAAAAGCTTGAAGCACAAAAAATGTGTGTGAACTTTCCGAAAAAACCACAAACTTCCTGAAAGCGTAAAAACAATGGAAAATATTTTGGAAAGTTGTTATACGAACATGGTAGTAGAAAAACTGAAAAAATTTTGTGATGAATATGTACGAGTTTATTGCCATGTGTGTGAAAAATATATTAATCTAGAAAAAATAGTAGTTCACATTTTAAAATTACGATTTAAAGACATAAATCATTGATAACAAAATATTTTCGTCAAGATAAGTTGAAATTTTCATCGGAAAAATACGAGTAATCCTAATACCGGGATTAAATTTGAGGCATCCTTTTGATCTGTAAAACATAAATAATTCTTTTACACAAACAATTTGTCAAAGTGTATTACTGTTTAGAGTGTAGATCTGGAGTGTCGAAGTAATACACTTAAAAATGAAGCTACTAATTTCTATCTTCGGTGTTCTTGCATTTATTAATGCATCAGCTTCTTGTAAGTTTAGTTTCCTAGTATATGGTATTATTTTTATTCATAAAGTTCTTCTTAAAAAATGTGTTTTAGCTACTTTCTCTGATTGTGGTGAAAATGAAAGATACTTGGAATGTGGGGTACTTAGTCACTGTGAAGAAACTTGCGACAGCAAACTTATCACTTGTGAACCTTTGTGTGTTGAGGGGTGTTTCTGTGAACTGGGATTTGTTAGAAATGGTACAGCAGGTCCATGTATCGCTGCAGCAGATTGTCCAAGGCATATATGAAATATCTACAGCTTAATTACCATACTAAGATTCAATATGTTATGTTTTGGCATGTCGAGAAAATGCTATCGGTTGACGTTATTTTTTAGAATAATCTCCCTGTGCTAAAAAAATCAATTTTAATAAAAATAAAGTAAACTTATCCTTACTTTTGTTCTATTAAATGATCTACCCAGATGTAATTTTTCTATGATTTTACTTATTTACACATTTTTTGCTTGTCCATTTTCCCTTCTTTTTTGATATTTTCTCCAGAGATTCTTCCCTAATGATGAAAGAGAGCAGAAGATGCAGTTCAAAAAACGAAATTTTTGATTTTTCACCAGATTCTCTTCAAATATTTTATCACTTGAGGACTAGATTAGTTTTGAACTCTGTAATAACTTTGTAGGTTCAAAAAATCAATTTTAGCAATTGTAAACTACAATAGTAGTAAAGGTGCAGGGTTGTGAATATTACTGTGAACATGCTTTATAAAAGCTATTGATCTCTCATTATCCCTGTTGGTTTTCGATGGAGATAAGGAAAATGATTCACTGTTAATTGAGAAGAAGAACATTAAAAGCTAGATCAGATCATTTGTGATATCATATCAAAAATAAGGAAGGTCAAACAAAAGTAATTATTGGACAAATAATCTTTAGGACAACGGACAGCATATCGTTAATAAATTTATTTTTTCTTTAGATAAGTTTATCAATGGTCAGATATAGTCTAAAGTTATAATTGGAGAGTGAACCTGGGGAACCGCTCAATCAGAGTGACTATTCATTTCACTAAAATTCATTTTCAAAAGTAGATCAATAAGAAAAATGAAACTTAAACTTTCAGATAAACATAATCAGTCATCGAACTTGTTACTGAGAGACTGCTTCATATATTCATATATTCAAGTTACTAAGTATTAGGCCAAGCAATCTTTCCTTTCAAGCAGAAACGAAAATTTGTTAAATTTTGAAAATGAGCGACCCACCGCAGATCAAGAGCTGTCATTTTCCAGTTTTGAACAACAACATTATTCATAAAATTACCAAGGTCCCCCATTGCAACTTGAAAAAATGTTTCTTTTATAACTCCACAATTGACAAAAGTACGTTGCATATACAATATACATCGATCAGATTCCAGGCGTCTGAAAAACTCGGCACTTGACCTATTAATTTTTACGATTTAGGTTAACGGCATTCCCACTGATATATAACCAGTATCTTCAGAATTAATTTCAAATTGTTGTCAAGTCAATAAAATAGTACTTCATACCAGTTAAAACTAGAGTTATGGGACTAAAAATTAAATAATCATTTTCAAATGGATAATGTTGTCTTTAACAAGCGTGATATTAATGTTGTCACAGGCATTCCTAATTATAACAATTCGTTGCATATTAAAATTAAATCAATATCAAAAATTTACCCAAAATCAGTCATATCTAGTTCAAATCAGATTATTAATTAAAGTAAAATTTTTATCAAACACTTGAAAGGTCAAAAATAATAGACAATAAACAGCTTCAAAATCTAGTGCATCAGTATTTTAGCAATCACACGTCAAGTACAGGATGCATTATCTTGATTAACGTTACTCATATCTTGGATATTTAGCAAACATTTACTTTGAAATTAATGATATTCATGATTTTACAAATATGCAAACTTTCTAAGACGGTACAGTTGTCTTCACAGCTTACACGATCATTTTAAAGCAACGGAAATGGGTCTGAAAAAGATTCCCTTTATATTTTGCAAAAATAATTTAGAAACTCTTGACATCGATAATCTTGTTTGTTTTTCAAAATGATTTCAACACACTAATTATTTTTTGGAGTCAGGTTCCGATAAAAAATCCGATTTTGCACCGACTGACTATTTAAATACAGCTTCGCAGGTTTAATAACAGTATCAACCAAAACCTTCGTCGAGTCCACTTCATCAGCTAGAAGAATACCACCAAAATGTTCTCCTTTATTATAAGCACACTTCTCCTTCTTGGTGCAACATCTGGTCGTAAGTATTAGAAATTTATTGTACAAGAGGAAAAAAAATGATAACAATTTCAGTGAGATTTCCCATTTGTGCTGAAAACGAAGAGTACCTAGACTGCGGTACCGAGTGTCCGCAAACATGCTTGGAGATCTTTGAACCAAGACAGTGTTCAGATGTTTGCGTTGAAGGATGCTTCTGCAAAGAGGGATTTGTAAGGGCTGGGGAAAGCGGTCCTTGCGTGCCGCGAGCTTCGTGTAAAAGTAAGTACTATGAGTATTTTTAGATTCCATAAATCATTTCTTTGGTTTTAATTACAACAGATGTACCACAATGTGCAGCCAATGAAATATACACTAAATGTGCTCCTCTATGTCCTCCGACGTGTGAAGAAAAGGAACCAAAACCTTGTCTAGATAAGTGTCTCGACGGATGCGTTTGTAAAGAAGGGTACATACGAAGTGTTACTGGTGGTGCTTGTGTACCAGAAGACACCTGCGATATAGGTAAAACTGTTAATTTCTCGGTAAAACTTTTACATAGTTTGTTTCAGATGTTTGTACTAAGTCTAATCAAGTTTACAAAGATTGTGGTACCCCATGCCCTGGTACCTGTGAACAGCCACTCAGAGTTTGTGAAAGAAGATGCGTTCCTGGATGTTTCTGTCAAGAGGGGTACGTTCTAGATCCAGAAACACAAGAATGTATCAGACTTCAAAATTGTCCTAACAGATTCTTCTAGACACTAGTAATTGCAATCCATCGTTAATTTGTTCATTTTAACACTATATTTTTAGATTTTGTATTTTTGGTATTTTCTGTGTACCTGTAATTAGATTATAGTTATTAATAAATTGCTAGCTAATACAGCACAATACTATTGTAGTCACATTTCATAAACCATTTTCGGCATTTTCGCTTTCAATGTATTTCTAAATTATGAACAAAATATGATATACATATCGTATTTTATATATTTTAATTTTTTAAAAGTATTACTTCAAACGACTTGACAGAGAGTATATAGACGAAACTACGTATTTTATACAAAATGTCTATAAATCTAGCACTCTTCGGAAATTTTTATCTTTTTTTTAATGAAAGAATTTTGCGGCTGGTTAAAATATATGTTTTACATACAGTTTTATTTTTACAAACAAAATTTAAGTCAGTCCCAAAAATGTTGAAAGTGTTGGGTACATTAATTTTTTTTATCGTTTTTCACATTTGTAACTCATTCTATGTTTTATGCTTTTGTATTTCCAAAATTTTGACCGTCATCAAGTTGTAGTGATTTGCCGTGAAAAAATAAATTTCACATTTAAATAAGTATAATAATTTTTACTTTCGGGGCATTTATGAAACCAGTCCATTTGATTATAAAACGATTTAAAGAAATCGTATATGCATTAAAGGGTTATTCTAAATTCGATATGAATTATCGAGTCCGGCCCGTAAACAAAATTTGGAAAAAGAAATAAATACAGATTTATTTTCTTTTTATCAGCAACCGCTATTGAGTAAATGAAGTTCTTCTTCATTTTTATGTATATTCAATTACAATGGTACAAGTTTTAATTTTTGTTTGCGATGACGTCATCAACATTTTGCAAGGACGCGTATATCAGTTTGGATAGATGTAGTGTAGTACTAAAAAAATAGGGCTAGGCGGTTGAAATTTATGCGGTAGGTATGGACCACGGCAGACCAGTGGTTCGTAACCGATATTCGCATCGCGAAGAAAATTATAAGAAAACTAACGTTAACTGACCGTAGTTGGTGATCTTAAAATCCATATCCACTACATAATAATCATAATATTTTTAATAATTTTCAAGTGTCGGTCTCGCTGAAAATAAAACTATTTCTGTAAATTATTAAAAATGGTGCACAATTGGAAAGCGAGAAACGAGTAAGGCAAGGATACACTGGCCGCACTTCACACGGGTAGACACGATGAATAAATTTTGACCGCCCAGCTTTACTAATAAACAACGACGTCGTAAACAAAATTTGACGTTTCCGGGCTAGGTTACCGTGCGTGATCTTCAACGTCCCGCATGCTGTTGAATGTGCTAAAGTCAACAAAAAAGATTATGAGTGCAAACAATTTATTTACAGCACATTATCAACGGAAATACATTACATCGGAAGAATGTCACTTAGACATTTGTTTGATTGGAATGAGTTTATTGCCCCAAAACGGATGACTAAAATTATTCATAAGCCTCTATTGAATTCTGAACGTTATTATTATAATTCTTACCTTATCATTATTTTAGTGAAACTTGGTTACATGATTCCATTCTTACTTCTGAAATATTTCCTTCTTATTATAGTGTCATTCGTTGTGATAGAAAATTTTCATTGGTTCGTCCCTCTAGAGGAGGTGGAGTATTAGTTGCATTCTCAAATAAATTCAAATATACGGTAATAAATACCAAACACCTTACTGATTTGGTACCGCTCATTGACGTAATCATTTGTAAATGCTCTTACGAAAATATGATTTTCTTATTTGTTGTTTTATATGTTCCACCCGATATTTCTGTTCATGATTTTGAGTTATTTTTTAATGCCTTAGAAGTCATGGTAATGCATGAACATTTGATAATCGTTGGAGATTTCAACGTTCCTAGTTTTTCAAGTAATAACCATAGTAACTGCCATAAAAGTTTAATTTTCAAGCAATTCTGCAGCGTTGTTCAACTATCACAATTTAATTCGATCCTTAATATTACTAACAGATTGCTGGACCTAATTTTTTCCAATCCAAATACTACAGTCCTAGTTTCCCACTGCACACCACCTTTAATATCTGAAGATAAGCATCACCCCGCTCTCGATCTAAACTTTAATTTTGCTATGCCTATTATCACTTCTAAGTTTCCGTTAGCAAAAAAACTTCGCTATAACTTTCGCAAGGCCAACTTTTTAAAATTATATCATGACATCAACAACGCGGATTGGTCTTTTTTAGAAAGTCAGGAAGATGTAAATATTGCTCTTGAGGGTTTTTATCCTTGTCTTTATAAGTTATTTGATACACCTGTTCCACGTATAACCTCTAGCTCTTCGAAATTTCCACCTTGGATTACTTCTGAGATTAAGCAGAATATAAAAACAAAAGACTGCTACAGGTATAAATGGATTAAATTTAAGGATTCTAAATTCTATATCGAATTCAAACGATTAAGAGCTATTGTTAAAAAACAAATGGATAATGCCTACCAACTGTATCTAAATCATGTCCAGAGCAATATCAAATCTGATCCTTCATCTTTATGGAGCTTTCTACATTTGAAAAATGGCACTTCTAGAATACCGGGTCAGTTAAGAGACAATAATGGAAATATATTTTCGGAACCTCAGGATATTGTGGATGCATTTGCTACTACCTTTGCCAATGTATTTACTGTTAACAACTCTACACACATAGAGTCTACTTCTATTTCTTCAAATTATTTCTTAATGTCTTCCGTCAGCATAGAGGATTCAATTCTGATAATGTCAAATTTATCCAACAAACAAACATGTGGTGATGACTTAGTCCCTAGTTTTTTGATACGTGACTGTAGATATGCATTTGCCCAACCTTTGTCCATCATAATTTACAAGGCACTTAAAACAGGTACATTCCCGGACCTTTGGAAAATTGCAAGAATCAGTCCTATTTTTAAAAAGGTTGATCCATCTTTACTAGCGAACTATCGTCTTATTTCCATTCTAAGCAATTTTGCCAAAGTTTATGAACAGGCATTATATAGTTGCATTTACAATAATACTCGTTCGCATATCAGTTTAGGACAGCATGGATTCAGAACTGGTAGATCTACATCTACAAACCTTGCAGTGTTTGTTCAAGATCTAAGTGTTGCACTTGATAAACGAGAACAAATGGACGTAATATATACTGACTTTTCCCGAGCTTTTGATGTTCTTCCTCACGACATTCTGTTAGGCAAACTTAATAACTTTTGATTTAACTATCCCCTTCTCAAACTGATGGAATCTTACTTAATAAAGCGTAACAACTATGTATTTTACAATGGTTTTACCTCTTTTCGTTTTTTGTCAAGGTCTGGAGTCCCACAAGGCTCTAACCTTGGGCTTCTCCTCTTCAGTCTATTTATCAATGAGCTTTTGGAATCTTTAAATTGCAGTATTTTAGCTTATGCTGATGATCTGAAAATTTATTCTAAAATCTCAAGTCTTTATGATGCTGAGCTTTTACAACGTGAACTTGTTGCTACATTTCATATTGTAGAAAACTTGTTGAAATATCGTTGATTTTTCTTATTCAATAGAAGGTACACCGTTAGAACGAAAAACATCGATCAAAGATCTAAGAGTTACTTTTGATAGCTGCTTGACTTTTGATATTCATCTTACCAACATTTGCAATGCTGCAAATAAATCTTTGGGGTTTGTCATGAGGACTTCAAAATTTTTCAACAACATTGACGTAATTAAATCACTCTTCTTTGCATATATTCTTTCGAAATTAGAGTATGCCTCATTAATATGGTATCCCATATATATGTGTCAGCACATGCTTCTTGATAAAGTGCACAGGAAATTTTTGAAATCCCTTTCGTTCAAAATTGATGGTAATTATCCGGCCAGAGGTATTGAGATGGAAAGTCTTCTCCAACGACACAAGATGTCCTCTTTGATGGTTCGAAGGGATCTGCATGCGGCTAACTTCTTGTGTAAGCTTATTCACAACAAAATTGATTGCCCATATTTATTATCACAGATTAGATTTAATGTCCCTCGGCCAGCATCGAGATATGTTAACACCTTTCATATCTCCACCTCCCGAACTAATATCCTTCGACGTTCGCCAATTACTACAATGTGTCGATGTGCAGATAGATATGTAGCTGATATATTTTATTCAAATTAGTTTATACTTGGAATTATGTTTTTGTTATTGTTATAATTTTTGTGTTGGTTATTCATGTAAGTAATTATTTAGATTTGTCCTGTTGTAACCTGTTGGACAATAAAATTATTATTATTATTATTATTATTATTATTTATTGTTATGAAGACGAGCGTATTCTCACATTTTCCAGAAAATAGGGTAGCTCGTTCTTAATTTGATCAATAATAAATTGACTGATTCATTAATTTTTTTGAGTCACCTATTTAAGCAAATCTAAAAAATATTAATGCAATGAATCAAAGTCTGTTCATATTTTGCACATTTGCGAAAGAATTTATTTGGCAAAATTTTGAGATGCCGTAATCAGTGTTTTTGGGCTTGATAAACAGATACATTTTCATTAAAAAGTTACCATGCTTACAATAACTTCAGAACGTCAAGATTTCAAAGTATTCAGTTTTGCAATTCTTGTTTTAAGCAATAAAATAAATTAACACAATCATTAATTTTTTTCACACACCTCGTATAAGCAAATCTAAAAAATATTTATGCAGTGATAAACACAAGCACAATTATAGACTCATCATACTTTGCATAATGCACATTTAAGATAGCATTTTTTCGGAAAAAATTTGGGGTGGCGTGACCAATTTTTGAGGGGGAGATGAGCAAATATATTTTGATCAAAAATTTACCATGCGTATGATAACTTTAAAACTTCTCGAAGATTTCAAAGCATTTGGTTTTGGAGTTCCTGATTAAATCAATAAAATAAATTTACGGACTCATTAATTTTTTTGAGTCACCCATTATATGCAAATCCAAAAAATATGAATGGAATAATAAATCACAAGTATTGTCTCATCATACTTTGCAAATTTAAAATACGATTTATTCACCAAAATTTTGAGCTGACATCATCAATTTTTTAAGGGAGGATGAACAAATGTATGTTGACTAAAAATTTACCATGCCTGTGATAACTGTAAAACATCTCCAACATTTCAAAGCATTCGGTTTAGTAGTTCCTGATTAAATAAATAAAATATATTCACGCATTCATTAATTCTTCAAATGGAGTGATAAATTGATAGCTTTATTCGGCAAACTTTTGAGGTAACATCAGCAATTTCTTGGAGGGGACAAGTAAATATATTTTGAATAAAAACTTAGCATGCTTATCATAACTGTAAATTATCTGCAAGATTTCAAAGCATTCGGTTTTGCAGATTTCAAATTAAATGTCAAAATGTTGGTTTCTAATTTTGATTTTTTTTCCAAAAATCTAGACGTTTCAGGTAAAATTTCGATTCGGAGTCATAAACTACATGTGTAAGACTATATGTTATTTGATAAAATTTAAAAACCGTTTACTATGTACAATGTTGAAGTGATGTCATCACATTAGTGGTGGGGATGATTAGACAAATTTTGGTTAGCATTTTACCATCTACGTGATATACCTAATATACATACAAAATTTGTCAACAATCGGTCCAGTACTTTCGGAGACTATCTGTCTAATAAAAATCCGGAACGGCAGACAGATGGACAGACAGACGGACAGACGGACAGACGGACAGACAGACGGAAACGGGAGATCTATGTCTTCGTCCTCTAGGGGTCATGATATGTCGAGAAAATGCACAAGTAGAGAGTCGGCTGGATTACAATACTTCCTTTGCTTACGCTTAAAAAGTTACCAAATCTACTTACATCTACCGAACGTGAATTCTTCAAGTTGACGGCGGTTACGACGAAAATTTTAGAGTACGTGCTATTTGAATTGATTTACGTATGATTTATTGCAAGTTTTTATGAATTAATTGTTAAGTCACTGGTGTATCTTTAGCTGGAATCTTCGGTTGAGTGAATAAACTAACACCTTTAACATTATCATTATTATTACTGATTAAAAAATATTTTTTATAACGCCCAAAACTGTTCGAAATAGTGATAAGATTCTTATCTTATAAACTAGTAACATGATGAAACTTAAATAATTCTTTTAAATGGACAATCCGGTGTTTAGCAAACGTGATTTTAATATTGTCTCGGTTACCGTTATGGCAATTCGTTGTCTACTAAAGTTAAATCAATATCAAAACAATACCTAAAATCAGTCGTACCAACTTCAAATACCTATAATCAAATATACAACGTATATAATTTCAAAAAATATCATAAATTTTATATAAAGAATAATTTTTCAAACGGAGGATATACCTATTTTTAAACAAAAAGTTACAAACAGTAGCAAAAAATTTTATCAAATACTTGAAGGGTCAAACATAACAGAGAGTAAACAACTTTAAAATCTAGTGCATCAGTATTTTGACAATCACAAGTCAAGTGTTTGGTGCATTATCTTGATTAACCTCATATCTTAAATATTTAGAAAAAATGTATACTTATTTTGAAATTAGTAATATTCATAGTTTTACAAATATGCAAGCTTTCTAAGACGGTACAGTTGTCTTCACAGCTTACACGATCATTTTAAAGCAACGGCAATGGGTCTGAAAAAGATTCCCGTTATATTTTGCAAAAATAATTTAGAAACTCTTGACATCGATAATCTTGTTTGTTTTTCAAGATGATTTCAACACACTAATTATTATTTTTTGGAGTCAGGTTCCGATAAAAATTCCGATTTTGCACCGACTGACTATTTAAATACAGCTTCGCAGGTTTAATAACAGTATCAACCAAAACCTTCGTCGAGTCCACTTCATCAGCTAGAAGAGTACCACCAAAATGTTCTCCTTTATTATAAGCACACTTCTCCTTCTTGGTGCAACATCTGGTCGTAAGTATTAGAAATTTATTGCACAAGAGGAAAAAAAATGATAACAATTTCAGTGAGATTTCCCATTTGTGCTGAAAACGAAGAGTACCTAGACTGCGGTACCGAGTGTCCGCAAACATGCTTGGAGATCTTTGAACCAAGACAGTGTTCAGATGTTTGCGTTGAAGGATGCTTCTGCAAAGAGGGATTTGTAAGGGCTGGGGAAAGCGGTCCTTGCGTGCCGCGAGCTTCGTGTAAAAGTAAGTACTGTGAGTATTTTTACATTTCATGAATAACTTCTTTGTGTTTAACAACAACAGATGTACCACAGTGTGCAGCCAATGAAATATACACTAAATGTGCTCCTCTATGTCCTCCGACGTGTGAAGAAAAGGAACCAAAACCTTGTCTAGATAAGTGTCTCGACGGATGCGTTTGTAAAGAAGGGTACATACGAAGTGCTACTGGTGGTGCTTGTGTACCAGTAGACACTTGCGATATAGGTAAAACTGTTAATTTGTCGGTAAAACTTTTACATAGTTTGTTTCAGATGTTTGTACTAAGTCTAATCAAGTTTACAAAGATTGTGGTACCCCATGCCCTGGTACCTGTGAACAGCCACTCAGAGTTTGTGAAAGAAGATGCGTTCCTGGATGTTTCTGTCAAGAGGGGTACGTTCTAGAACCAGAAACACAAGAATGTATCAAACTTCAAAATTGCCCTAACAGATTCTTCTAGACACTGCTAGTTGCAATCCGTCGTTAATTTGTTCATTTTAACACTATATTTTTAGATTTTATATTTTTGATATTTCTTATCTGCCTGTAATTAGATTATTATTACTAATAAATTGCTAGCTAATGCAACACAATTTTATTGTAATTACATTTCGTAAATACTTTTCGGCATTTTCGCTTTCAATGTATTTCTAAATTATGGACAAAATATGATACACATATTTTATATTATTTGAAATATTTAAAAATATTACTCCAAACGACTTGAAACAGAATATATAGACGAAACCTATATATTTTATACAAATGTCCATACATCTAGCACTGGCTGGAAATTTTTATTTTTTTTTAATTAAAATATGTATGAAAATATGTTTTTACATAGAGGTCTATTTTCACAATCAAAATTGAAATAAAAAAAAATGTTGTCTGCCATCCAGTAACGGACACTTTCAAGAGTTATTGTGATGAATATCAATCATTTATGGACATTTTGTACGGGGTCTCTATAAATGATTGTAGGATCGAAGTAGTTCGTGGAAATGTGCTGCCTATCACTTTATATGGACTTACTATAAGCCTAAGGACTTACGACAAATACCCCACGTACATGTCGAAATTTTTCACGTCTTAAAAAATAAAACAAAACAAATTTATTGTGGTTAACCATCACAGTAAATGTTGAAAATGTTTATCATTTTGTTTAAGGCACATATTCACTCTTTTTGGAGCTATTTTGTCCAATTTCATCTTGCAACAGAAAGTTCTGACTGCTGAACTAATCTTGTCAACGATGTTTGCAGATTCTACTCGAGTCGCTTTAAATCAACAATAACGTCCTGAGACACTGAAGGTCTTCCAGGAGATTTCCCTTTGTCGATACTATCAGTTCAAACAAATCTGATCACACCCAATCTTCGTTTACGAATGTTCCATTGCGATAACAAGACATAACAATGAAAGTGTCAACAGAATAAACCATTTTCAAGGTATTCGCTTCCTAGCACAAAAGCAAAATTTTCTTACGCAAGCAACAAGAGTTTTGAAAACAACTGTTTTTTACCTTTTTCGTTCTCATTCTTACGTTCACTTTTGTTTCAGTTAACACAAAGTCCTTTCTATAATTTAAACACATATCGGCATTTTTGCATTTAGGTTAAGAAACCACTTAAAGTATTGCTCTTACAATCCTTATATTATTTGGTTTCCTACCACCCCTATATCACAATTTGCATTAGAATTTTCGGTAATATTAATATTTTCACGTACATCTTTCAAAAAATGTCTTATTCAAACTCTGTTCGACTATTATTACTTTTTCTTCTCTAAAGACTTCGTCACGTGGTGTGTGTCTATTCCGTTTATTACTATAGTGGGCCATGAATTAAAATTTCTTAACCTACTTAATTTTTTTTACTTCTATTACTCCTTCTTCTTCTATTAACCCCTTCTTTTCTTATATGTTACTATGGTCGTTTTCTCTTTCAATTTTTCTGTCTTCCTATATTATAGTTATCTATTTTTTCATACCTTGTGTGAACTGTTTTACATAGCTGGTTATTATAGTTCGTCTTTATCTTTCTACTTTATTTATTCTTAATCTTCTGCAGTTTTATATCCGAAATATCTTGTGTTCCTCAGTTCCGTTAATTTATCTTTATTTTCCTTTTTTCACATTCCTCCTTGCTACAATTAAAGTTCCCTTACAACATTGTTTAGAAACCATTTTTCGTTAGTCTGCCTTCTTCTTACTAATTTTTACTTTTCGCTTTTCTGTTCTAGAGTACCTGTGTATAATATGTTGCCATAACTTTGTTAAGAAATTTTTGGTAATAGGTTTTTTGAAAACCCAAAACAAGCCTTACGTATAATTGAGATAAAAATTGGCACATCCCAATTATTATCAAAAAATATGATCTACCACTCGAAAACTCTGAAATAACAATAAACATTTTAAAATGTATTGCACCAGTGATTTCAACATGACTCATTTATCAGCTGTCAAATGCAAGCCCGATTAAACTTATTTGTAAAAATGGATGACCGATAGACAAAAATACTTATTTTGATTTGCTAATGACGACATTTTCTTAACAAGTTACTTCAGCTGCCTTTAAGGTTTCTGGAACACTACTTTAAAAAAAGCACCATTTTCTGTTTGTTAAGTTAAATTTAATCGGACTAATTTCTCATTTTACACAATGTTTTTCAGACACAACGATTTTGATAAAATCTCTTCCTTTGACAAAATAATTTCGACACAATGATTTTTGGAGTCAAGTGGCGATAAAAATATTTGTCAACAACAGCAATTAGGTATTTAAATCCTGCCTTGCACCAACACAATCAGAATCAAGACACACTCTGTAAAGTGTACAGCAATTTAAAAATCTTCTATCAAAATGTTTGGTACCATCATCGTCACCTTCTTCCTCCTAGGGGTCACACTTGGCAGTAAGTAACCAAAATTTCCATCAAACTAATAAAAATCATTTGACACCCATGTAGAAGAACTACCAATCTGCTCTGAAAACGAAGAGTACCAGAACTGCGGCACTGAATGCCCACAAACCTGTCTGGAAATCTTTGAACCGAGAGAATGCTCAGATGTATGTGTCCAGGGTTGTTTCTGCAAAGACGGTTATGTGAGGGCAGGAGAAAGCGGTTCTTGCGTACCAAGGGAGTCTTGTAAAAGTAAGTACTTTAAGCATTGTCTTATATTTTTTGATAATTAATTGTTGCCAACTCTAGATGTACCCAAATGTGGTTTAAACGAAGTATACACAGAATGTGCAACCCTGTGCCCTCTGACTTGCCAGAATAAGGAGCCAAGGGTGTGTCCAGATGTTTGTGTGGAAGGATGTGTGTGTAAAGATGGATTCATCAGAAGCGTCTTTGGAGGTCCTTGCGTCTTGGAAGATGTTTGCAGCACATACTCCTTTGATTAAATCTGCTTTTAATTTTTTATGTTTTTAACAAGAAATTACGCTTTCAGTAAATTATATTTTCAACTTAATCCTGCCTCATTTAACAATTTCCACACTTCACTACTTAATTCCGCTCCACCTAGATCCTGATTAGATTATTGTTTTGCTTTAATTATGCCAACACAGGCGAACGTAATTTAGAGACGATGTCGACAGAAACTAATTCAAAATAGTTAAATTACTTGGCAAGTAAAACATCGCATCAAAACCGGGAGTTAGATTTTGGAGGAAGCGAAATTGTCGAATTAAGTAAATAAAGTTTTACGAAACATTACGCATACATAATGAACTCCTGGCACGAAATTAATACGTCTTGCATAATTTTGGGAATATCGTTGTTGTTATGGGTGTTTGTGGATCTCTTCTTCGGAAGTTCTGCTTTGGATAAACGGGATTTACATTTTGGTTACCAGCGGGTCGACTGGAAGTAATGTGTTTTAATTCGGTAATGGAGATTTTTTGTTGGACGGGGATTGATTTTATACTGGCGTGAACTTTGGGGAAATTAATGTTTCTATTTAAAATCAATCTCCCAAATATTGCTGGCTGTCCAAAGCTTTCGAATTATGGCGAAAGTGTATTTGTGTAATGTGAAGTCGTATCACTGAAATGTTATGTATTAATATTTTTGGTGTCAGTAGTGATGTATTCCGATGCGATAACAGACACAAAAGTCTTTTTTCTTCCCGAGGACGTATTTTAATCTCGATTGTAATAGAATTCATCCGGCAGACGGCTTCTTTCATATTTTCTCGACTTTTCACTTCCCATGAAATATAAAAAAATATGCCTCATTTCCTCCTGTCTGGTTGTGTCAGTTTTATTAGACACATAATCTCCGAAACTACCGAACCGATTGTTGTCAAATTTGGCTGGTTCAATCTAGATAATGTATCACTTTGTTTGAAAAATTTGTGTGAAGCGGAATATTCTTACATTGTGGTGGGCAGGATACTCATGACAAAGTAATGATTTTCACAAGCAAAGTGACACTGAATATGTCACAATGAAGAGTGATAATTAAATAAACATTTGTGTTCAACAAAATTTATGCAAGCAATTTATATTTTGAAAAACTGTTGTGTTCAAGGTTTCAGATTTTTAAGGGAAAAATGCGCAATTAAATTCAAATTCAACACAACTGTATTTAAATTTTAAAATACATTACAATAAATAGACGGTAATTTATCACTTTGAAACTCAGATGACGATAATGAATTATAGAACTAATAACGGTCTATATACGTATTAATTTAAATGCAAATTTGCCTCAACAGCGATATTAATGACTCAAATAAATTATCATAAGCATTAATTAAAATGGCGCATCGTCACAAAACAAATTGTATTTTTACTTCCTAAGCATAATGGGGTCCATCCAGTGCATGGCTGTTTTAATGCTTTGTCGACGTTTCATGACGCCTAACATACGAAAAAATGGGTCCCCCGTTTCTGTGTGTCTGTCGTGTGTCTACCAGATCGATTGTTGTCAAATTTTGAATATATGCTAAAAATATCGTGTATACTTAACCTATATCTACGGTAAAAATCTTTAAAATTTCTAATAATAAATAGATAACATGTAAGTATGAAGTATGCAATTCCTTATTTTACTGCAAATGCACAAATTTTACTTCATCCTACAAAAGGTGACCGAAGATTGAATTCTGCGGTACTCCAGAACCGGCATAGAAGTCATCAGAATTGAACTAAAAGAATGTGCAAACTGACCTGTCAAACGCTTTTGATATATGACCGTTATCACTGGAACAGCAATAAACAGAATAAGGCAGAATTTATTTGTGATTGTAGATCTACCATACCTAAAACCAAATTCTTAATTTAAAAATAAAGTTGGTCATAAATTAAGAACTCGAATATTTTGGTAAATTAATTGAATATATAAATTCTATTGTATTGGTATTCCGTTAAACAAATAAATATATGTATAAATAAAAATTGCAGAATTTCTCTGACCGCAAGGAACAAGGTCAATGCCATTCTCTTGTTTGCCAAAATCACTTGTCAGGTTAGCAGTGTACTGTTCGTTCCACCTTGAGTTGGCAGCGTGGAAAATCCGTATGCAATACATTTTATATGGGAGAATTCGCTGCGGTGTTCCAGTTATCAAAAACCTTCCGATTTTTGAAGAAATTGATATATTGATTCTTATACCTACAAGTTATCAAATCTTGAAGTTTCGATCTTTTCTTAAAAGTATGGCTACTTTGTTACTATATTATGAAAACGTTGGCTAAGAATTTTCGATACCCACTGGTACCATCACAAGAGCTAAATAACAGGTGAATTAGATTACAAAAACATGACAAACATTAAAAATTACATACTTACTTATAGAAATTTTAAGTTGTTATATGCTGCTAGCAGCAAACACCAACAAGTAATGGGAAATTAGAAGAAATTACACACGTGATCAAATTGCTAATGTAAATTAACGCCTTCTGGAAAGCTATAATAGCCAGTTACAGAAGCTCCATTAAATATTGGATTCCGATTAAATTTTTAAAGCAGCATTAAAGTACCACGTGACCGGCTCAAACAGATGTCGCTCAAATAAAGTATTCAGTAAACTTAGTTCAAAATAACTTATTTTTTAGAAAAACAAAAACTGCCAAGAAAACAATGAGATAAAGTAGACATGGACTTGACTGAAATAGGGAAAGTTTTAAGATTGGCTAGCAGGGGAGATAGGATGGAAGTGTTAAAGCAAGTTTGTTCATTAACAAAAGATGATTTAGGTTTTTGATACCTAACCCAATTAAACAAGCATTAACATTTTTTTCATTTGGACAAGTTTGTACTTGTACGATTTGCGATTTCTTTGCTTATAGAATACTTAACATAGTTTAGAAAATTAAGCCGTTGGTACTGAAAACAAAAACGATTAGGGGAGAAGGGGGTCACTTAAACCAGAATTAATAGATAAACTAACATACTGTTACGTTGTTCGGTGATTAAAATCAGCATGGGTTATACTCAACAATGTATTTCTTAGCAACTCAAATTTACACGATTAATCTCGCAGCGATTATGTACATAATATCTGACGACAAAAGTCCACGACAACTAACTTATCTAAAGTCACTACGTACTACACTTCAAAATCGAATCGACAACGGAGAAGCCAACCTTACCATTAAATATGTACAAGGTAAACCAACTATTGTCACCATTTCAAAAAACAAAGAAAACTAATACTCGAATGGACCCTTGTTTATGCTAATGTTAATTCACTTTTTTCTAAAATAAACGAATTTACCGCATTTGTTCAACTTAATAATCCAAATATAATTATGTTAACAGAAACCTGGTTATCAACAAACTTTCCTGACTCTCTGATATCTCTTCAAGGCTATCAGTTGTATCGTCAAGATCGTAACACTGGTAGAGGTGGCGGCATCTGCATTTTTATCGATAACAAATTAGCATCTAAAGTCCAAATTTCAACGATTCCTTTTGAAACACCTGCGGGCTGCGAGGCATTAGCCTTAAACATGCATTCACCTCAATTTAGTCTTTCTATAGGTTGCATTTATAGACCCTTCTTTAGACCCATTCCGGAAATTGATTTTTCTTTATTCCACAGCATTAAAAATTTTTCCCTTTCCAACAAAAATGTGATCATCGCAGGCGACTTTAACATGACACACCTATCTTGGCCAATAATACCAAATTCGCCCTACAACGAAAACATTTTGGACTCTATTCTGGAAGGAAACTTAAACCAATTAATCACGAAGCCAACGAGAATTCGACAAAATCAAGCCCCTTCTCAAACGGATTTAATTTTTACAAACGATTTACATTTACTGACAAACATAGAATACTTACCACCATTAGGAAAATCAGATCACCTCACAATTGCATCCAAGCTCCAAATCCATGTCACGCAAGCAAAAAATGGGATCATTAAAAGAATTAATCGCACAAATTACGACAAAGTTCGAAATGACCTTGCCCTTATCAGCTGCAACTCAGCATTCAATTCACTCAACACTTCTCAAATGTGGAAGTTATTTGAAACAAAATTATCCAGCTCCGTAAAAAAAACATACTTCTACTATAAAAATTAAAGTCCTCCCTCAGAAACCTTGGATAAATCACCATTTACTCAAGTTAATCAAACAAAAAAAGCGTATTTGGGAAGCATATAAAAGAAGTCCATCGGAAAACAAATATCTCGATCACAGAAGATTTTCTAACCACGTCGTTTCAGAGCTGAAAAAAGCAAGAAAAATTTTCGAAGACAATTTAGCAAAATCAGAATCTTCTAAGAAATTTTACAAATACATAAGGTCATCCCTCTCAACCAAAGTTGGTATTCCATTACTAAGAAAACCCGACGGCAACCTTTGCCTATCTAACAAAGAAACAGCGGATCTCCTTGCAGATGAATTCCACTCCAACTACAGCCTGGAAACTTATGGACCATTTTTAAAGACAATCGTTTCAAACAGAAATTCCTTGTCGAACATAATTATTACAGAGGCAGCGATAAAAGAAACTCTCCAAGAAATAGCTAAAAGACAAAGGTCCCGACAACATCACTTGCCAGGTTATCAACGCCTGTATCGAGGAAATTACCACCCCCATATTTTGCATCACCAAATCTTCAATTGAAGAAGCAACACTTCCCTGCCAGTGGTTAACAGCCAACGTAACTCCAATCTACAAAAAAGGAGACAAATTTTCCCCCACAAATTACCGGCAAATAAGTTTAACATCGATTATATGCAATGTACTGGAAACGATTATATATAAACAAATGTTGACATTTTTACTACACGAAAAGATTATTCCCGACTGCCAACACGGATTTCTACCTGGACGTTCAACGATTACTAACATGCTAGTGTGTGTCAATGACTGGACACTAGCTTTAGATTCTGAACAACCACGGGATATCGCATATTTAGATTTCTCTAAGGCATTTGATCGGGTCCCCAAAGAGCGTCTTCTCTTCAAACTTCAATCTGCAGGTATAAGAGGTAAACTTTTAAATTGGATT